GCAGGCCGGGCGCCGGGCCGCTCCGCAGGAAGGACGGCACGAACTCGGCGGCGTGGACGTTGGGCACGAAGGGCTTGGCGTTGACGTTCAGCTGCCGGCTGAAGGCCGCCCCGAGCAGCTCCTGCTGCGCCTCGGCCTCCGCGGCCGGCGGGGCGCAGCCCGGGCCGGCGCCGCTGCCCGGCTCGATGTCCGCCTGGTCCCAGCAGTCGGGAGCCGAGTCGCTGCTGCTCCCGCTACCGCTCCCGTTCGCCTCCATTTTGTGGCGGCCCCACAAGGCTCCGCGGCCCCGAAGCGTCTCCCGGGTGAGGGGGGAGCCGGCGGCGGCACCGACTCAGCACTCGCTCCGCCGATTCCGCGTGTGCTCCGCCGCCCCGACGCGAGCGCAGTGTGGCCTCTCGGGCCGCCGTACCCCCTCCCGGCAGCCTCTGCTACCGCCATCGTAGTAGTTTTAATCTCCCCCGGCCCTCCTCCTGCCGCACGTCCGAGGCTCGGCGCAAGAACTACAATACCCGTCAGACCACGCGCGCGCACTCGCGCCCCTCTCCCGAGGACAGACGGGAAATGGAGTTGCCTGCGTTACTTGCGCGCTCAGGAACTGCAACTCCCGGCGGTCCCCGCGAGTGCCGTGGGTCCCTGCCGGCCCCGCCCCCTTTTCCAGGGGGATGCGGAACGCGGAGTTGGCGCGAACGCCTCAGGCGGGACCGGAACCGTCCGGGTCAGCTCCCAGAACACACCGAACCCGTCCTGGGGAGCTGAGGGGCACAGGGACAGGACAGGCGGGACCGGAACCGCCCGGGTCAGCTCCCAACTCTTCCCACCGAACCCGTCCCGGAGAGCTGAGGCGGCTGCAGAGCTCCCGGGGAAGCTGGGGGAGCACACGGCGTCCTACGGGATGCAAGAGGGAACGGTGTCCTACCTGTCCAGCCAGAAGTGGACAGGATGCAGGGAAAGTTCCAATTTTGGTCATTCTATAGGACACTTTCACTTGGTTGTTATAATGTAAAAAACCCATCCAGTTAAGCCTGTCAGTAGGACTTTGCAAATACTGAGGCCCTCCCTCCACTGGTATGACTCTTTAGAAGTGTTTAAAACAAAATCTCAACAAACAAACCCAAAAAACATGGCTTGAAGTTAAGTATATTTGGAGGCAACGGCGTAGAACAGAGGGGAAACAAGTAGATTTTGGTTGTGGCAGCATTTTGTCTCATAAGGTACAGTGTGTTTAAAACTACACAAAGCAAATACTTGGGAGTTTCTTGTAGTGCCAACATGTGAGGAGTGAGTCATCTTCAACATTATTCATATCAGAACACTGTAGGACAGATTACAGGGTTGTTTTAAAGCAGGTGGTCTTAGAACTAAAAATGCAAGATGTCCCTTTGGTACAGAGTCCTGGGCAGTTTTGGTTGGAGAACAAAAGCTCTCCTGAAGGGGCGTTTGTGTAATGCAATCCTGACATGAGAACCAGAGGGCTTCTGGCTGCACACCAGCAGCAACATGTGGAGCATGGACAAACAAAAACTTCTACAGATGTTAATGGAAATCTGGGCTTCCAACAGATCATAACCAGGGAAAACATTAGTGTGCCGGGTAGCACTTACAAAAGCAAAAAAAAAAAAAAAAAAAACAAACCAAAAAAACCCCAAAAACCAACAAAACCAAAGCCCCACTAACACCGCAGAAAGTTCATTTTGTAAGAAAGAAAGACTATCACTTATAACGAGAGACTAAAAATCTGTGCCTAAGTGGAAGCCTTTCCTTCAAGCACCACCAAGAGTCTGACCCTAACCCTATTCTCTGGCACAGAGTTACTCTCCAGTTTTCAGACATTGTCAGTGTCTATTTTTCAAATCAAGTGTAATTAAGGAATAGTCTCACCTGTGCTACTGTTGTAATATTTGGAATTTTGTCAAGCTGCCAGTAAGTCCCAGCTGTGCATGGCCATCACTTTTCTGTTTAACAAAAGGAAAAGTAGTACACAGTCCATTGTTTGGGTTTGTTTTCTTTTAGTTCTAACCTTTTTAGGTGACATTTATTAGCCAGGAGGTGTCTGATACATTTCACATAGTACAGAAACAAGGTAGCAGCATTTCAGCACTCAGGGATTACTGGTGTTGAATAATAGCTAGAGCTGCACTGGAGAGCAAGCTGCATGCATTCTGCTGACAGAGTGACTTGTTCCTGAACACTTTTTACTGTCACTGTGAGCATGGAACAGGTTTATAATGAGTGCAATGCTGTATTGCAAGCTGGTGTTTGGTTTGAGCCCTGCCCCAACTGGAGGCAGGAGCTGCCTTTTCTGAGCAGTTGAGATGTACCTTAAGATGATCAGCACAGACACAGCAATTCTTGCACACTTTTTGGCATTCATTAAAAAAATTCTTGAAGGTTTTTGAAATTTGCTTTCTTTGTGATGGCTCATGAAGCGGTGAGTTTTGATAATTTTTTATCATTTTCTGAGTTGTGATAATTTTTTTTTGTTAGTGTAGGGGGAGTAGGGCCAAATATGTGTTTGATCTGAGGTGCAGAAGTGCATATTACCCTGATTTCAGGGGAAAAAAATTAGTTGTGTTTCACAACTTTTCTTTCTTCCTTGACAGGTACTTATTCCCTAGATTCTTGCTAGGATATAAACAATTAGTCCACAGAATTTCAAAAGATGCCAGATGTCCTTCAGAGTGTACCAACCTGTTTTGCAGGCTGTCACACATGGAATTGTGTAAACTCAAACACTACATTTTTAACAGGGCTAGTAGTTTGTTTTTCCACTTTGGAACAGCTGGTACTCAAAACAAAAGTGGAATTATGATAATTTTACTGGCAAAATATCCACTGGAGTGTAAATGGTCCTGTTTGCTTGAGGTTTTAAAGCATTCTTAAAGCTTTTCTTGTTTAAATCTCTTCTGCATCAAAATGTTCAGAATAAATATACCAGCTCTTCATTTAATAAATGCTAAAATGCTTTTCTTATTGAGAACCACCCACATAAATCCATTCCCATGTCATGAATGACTTAAGTGATCAAGATTGCTTAGAAAAGAGGAATCTGGCCCAACTTAGGGTTAACCTATGATGACTGAGGGGCAAAGAAATTGTTCCCCCACAACTGCAGTTCTTCCATCCTTGTGCTGCCTCTGAGCTCTGAGAGCCTGTGCTGAGTCTGTCCAGCTCATTACATTTAGTGACAGAATCATTCACTTTCTTTTTCCTCCTGGGCTACTCAGCTGAATCAAATAAGATGCATTTGACAAATGCCAGGGCTGGTATGAAGTAAGATTGGGGAACAGGACTTATTTTTTGGTGACAGCAAGTTATTAATGCAATAAACTATCCCAAGGCAGCTTCAGCACTAATTTGCAGTGTGTGGTGAGTCAGTCCTGCAGCAGTGAAGTGGAGGGCTCTGCTCACATGGTCTGAGAAACAATGGTCTGTACTGTGGCAGTAACTCCCACCCAAGCTCCCACAAGCACTTGGCAGCCTGGCAAGGACACCTATGAAGCACCAATGCTTTAGCCATGTGAAGCAGAAGAGAAAGATGGATTTCACTAGAAAGCTCCAAACAGGTGAACAGCTTCAAGAAGTTACTTGCTCACCACCAACAGGTAAGTTTTTAAAATTCCATGAACTACCAACAGCCATAAAATGGAAAGAGAGTTGTTTTAGGTTTGAGTTATGATTTAATTGACTCAGTTTACCTTGACATCAACTTCCTGAGCTACTGCAACATGGGAAGAAACATTTTGGCTGAGACTGGGAGGAGCAGGAAAGGAATACAACTTCCCTTTCTGGTGTGGCAGCAAGCTGGGATTGGGTGACACACTGTGAGCCATACCCTGATATTTAAAGGTATTCAAATATGTACAGTAGCTATGCACCTAAATGAGTAACCTGATATTTAGAATTGCTTTGAAGTCAGAAAGAGCCTTTAGAAACAAAGCCAAAGCAACAAGTTATTTACTTAGGAAAAAGAAAGGACAGGAGGCAAGAGGTAAATTACTAGAAGTTTGACTAGGTGCCAGAAATGTATAAACTAATGTTTTTAAAGCCTGGCAGATTCTCTCTCCAGGTAGTCTGTGCAGGTGTAGCTGAGAACTAGAGAATAGAAAACACAACTGTTTCAGCATGTTGGCCTCATTAAGAGCCAAGTCTCTCCTAAGCTTTACTGGTGCTTGTGGAAGTGTCAGTGAATAAAGAGGCTTTTATATTTACACAAGACCATGTCTAATCCAAACTAAGACATCTTGCCCTGGAAACATCTTTTTACTGATTTGTTGTTCCAACACTGCTATTTAACAAATGCTCTTTCTGGCCTGTTCCTCTCCCTGTGCTGGGCACTGGCAGAACTGCAGTCCATGAATTCCCTCATGGAAATGTATTTGAAGCTATTTCTTTGGAAGAATTTCAAATAAAAGTCTTCTTTGGTTTTCCAAATGTAGCACTAGAGCATAAGCTCTGTTTCACTGTCCAATCATAGAATTAGTCCACATCTGCCAAGGAATTTAGAATTTGTCTCACATTTCATTGTGGGTTGGCAATGAGTACTTTGGAGCTGGGTTCTTCTATTTGAGGGCTCCAATCTAGTTAAAGCCTTTTTTGATGGCTCCTTTTGGAGCAATTAAACACAGGCTTCAAAAATGGCATAAAGTTAATTGGTCTTCTTTTAGATAGCAAAAGAAATACTTGAATTGCTACACCAAAATGCCAGTTTGTTATTTTGTGTCCATCTTCTCAGCTCTCAAACACCTCACATGCCCAGCTCATTATTTTTAAAAATAGTCATGTGTGTCTCTCACTTCTATGTGTATACACAACCTTTATTCTCTAAAAAGAAAGACTGAAAGGTCTTTTTTTGCAAGTGCAGTCACCTTTTTTCAGGTGACTCTAACTGGAGGCTCAGAGTTCTCAGCTGTGTGATCTATTGCTTAGTTACCCTGTATTGTTTAGGTCTCAGAGATGTGTAAGGTGGGTTCTTGTTGGATCTTTGCTCACAGTGCCTCTCTTTGAATGCACAGGCAGTGCAGTTCCTCCTTAGACAGGATTTCTTCTGTGGTTTTGATACTGTGAGACTCCAGACTGAAAAATAGGAGTGGGAGAGTAGTTTAGGTAAGTAGTTTTTCTGTCAAAACTGTTGTGTGTGTGGGTTTCTTGCTATGAAAGCTCAAAAGAAACAAAGATGGGGATTTAGGTGTGCACATTGTGAAGAACCTATGTGTATTTATAAACCTGTGACAGTTAAAATGTTGTAAATAGCAGAGGGATTGCTTAATGTGGAAGGAATGTGCTGAGCAAAGAACGCACATCCAAGGAAGGGAAGAGTGAGATCACTTCAGTGATGTAAACAGTGACTGACCTGGGGCTGGGAAGGTTACAGACAGGAATCTATTTGGAAGAAAGGCAGAGATTGTGGTTTCAGAGATCTGAAAGCCAGGTGTAGGATTGGTGGGATTGGCATGGTGTCAATCAAAATACTGAAGCAGCTGAAAAGAAATCTTGTGAATCACAATCCAGACCTCTGCTTATCAGCAATGTTTTGATTAGAAAATTCACCTTTTGCTTCCTTAGAAGCAGCATGGCCAGCAGGACCAGCACAGTCACTGCTGAGGCCACACCTTGAGTGCTGTGTCCAGCTCTCATGACAAGAACTGCACATGGAGGTGCTGGGTGGTGTCAGAGAAAGGAGCAGAGCTGGGGAAGGGGCTGGAGCACAGGTGTGCTGAGGAGTGGCTGGGATTAACACACTCTTTATTCCCAGCCTTTCTGACATGCAGGGATTCCCTGACGTGGGGGAGCTGCTGGGTGCTGTAATAACTCCAGGCCAGATCTCCTGCTTTATAAATATGGTTAAAGTTTTGTAACACTTCAGTTTTATATGGACAGTTTTACACGCTGTCTGTCTCAAGGGAGGGGGAAATAGAGAACTGGTTCCATGTGGGATTTTCATGTGCTTTCTTTTCAACTTTCTAATTCTCTGGAATTCCAGTTGAGGGAGCATGTTGTCCATTAGAGATCCCTTAAGATTTTAGTTTCAGAAATGACTAAAGCAGAATGGCATTATTGTTATGAAGGAAGAATAACAGCATCATGGGATTTTTAAAGCTGCTCTTCTATGGCTAGTTAACATGTTAACATTGTTGCAGAAAATAATTACTTCATTATGGAATTGTGAGAATGAAATAGTGAGCTTGTTTCTAAATAGGCTTAATTACTCTAGAAGTATTCTGTGCCAGTATTCTTATTCCAGAGACAGCAATTTGCATGGGGAATTATTCTGGACTAGTGGTGGCTGAATCAATTACAATTTCCCTCCTGTCTTGAGAGAGAGCACACATTGACACTGTGATGCTGTACATGAGAATTTGAAAAAAATGAATGTGTGTTACTCAAACCTCTGGATAGCTAGAGAATTTGGCTAAAATTACCAGAACAAATATTTATGTTAGACTTTAGTGTATGCCAAACACTTTACATAATTCATAATTTTTCCTGCACATTTATTTTTGTTGTAACTCCAGTACTCCTGTTGGCATTACACTGCTGATGATTTTCAGTTTATTTTGTCCACCTGCAAAATCACTAAAATAGTAGCACATAAGAAATTATTTTTCCAACACAAAATGTGTTTACATGAAGTAATAAATTATATTTGCATTTTGTAAAAACTATTGTACCAACACAAAAATGTCACTGGCATTCTAACAAGCATTGGCTTAATCCAAACTTGCTTGCACAATTCCTTTTTTATGCATTGTCCTTAGTGGTTACATAACTATTCTGGCACATGTGGGATGTCAGAAAAATGAAAAGGTGTCCTCTTTGCCCCAAGGGTTTGCAGGCTATTAGGACTGCTTTCCTGGGCTGTGCACTTCCTCTGTTCCATGAGCTGGTTCTTAGCTAAGTCAGCTTTGAACACAGTGGGGGACACAGAAGCTGTCTGTGATTTAATTGACTGTGTTTATACTATTGTTATTTTAATCACTATTTTAAAGGAACATTTTCTCTTCTGTTGTTTTGCTCTTTAATCCATTTTGGAAATACTCAGTGTAGCACCACCAACATCACTCTTTTCAAAGCTGTGGTCTAATTAAAATGTGCTGAACCAAACAGGCAAAATCCACATTGTTCTTGTTTTTGCTCTGTGTGCAAATGACATTAAACAATATTTTGTCTAAAAGCAGCATTGTTCTGTGCAGCTTGTAAAAGTTAATGAGCATGATGAACCCTTTAATAGCTCCATCCTTTTATTTATTTACTAGCAGTGTGTACCCCATTCCTAGAACAGCTTATCTCCTCCCAGCCACACAGTCAAAGCATGCACTTCACAAAGATGGATTTCTGAAAAGAACTGTTTCAGAAAGTTTTAACACTGTTTGAGGAGATGACTGTCTATAAGACTGCTGTTCCTTGAAGTGCAATAACTTTTGAGAAGAAAAAGTGTTGTTTTTTGGTATGTACATTGGTCTTACAGATTTTTAGGATTGTTGAGGTGAGGTGATTTATAAGAGACTTTTTTGGGGGATTTATTCTGTAAATAGCTTTAGAGAATTGGAGAGGATCAGAGCAAGCCTGTAGTGTAAGATTTGACAGTGTAGGTCAGTGGCCTTAGTGAGTGGGGAAAAAAAGAGCTGTGCCAGCACAAAGCCATCAATGTAGAAGCAGCTATACAACCAGAAGAATTCCTTTGTCAGCCTAGCTAATGCTGTTTGTGAAGGGAATGTTATAGTCCTAGCAGAAAACCCTCTTTCTCTCGGTAAGTGCTATGTAATTGTGCCAGCAGAATTTCTGAAGTACAGTCAGGCAAAAAAGTTGGCACAAGCTTCAACAGAGAAACCCCGAAGCAGTGCCAGAGCAAAACTGTTGTTTAGGTTATGTGTGGTAAACAGATCTCAAGTTATTGTTCTGTGAAAGATGAATTTCAGTCTTTAATCATTGACAGGATGATATTACTTACTTTGATTTTCCATCCAAAGTTCTCATTTTATTATTTTGGCTTACACACAATAGCTTTTTTCAAATTAAATAGTGAAAGATAAAATTTTTCTTGACTGATTTCTGTCACATAATATCGATTTCACATGTCACAAATAAGAACTGACAAAGATTTCTGGAACTCTTGAGTTTCTCCAGATGTTTAACAAAACTAACAGTCAAGTTTGGGTTCATGGCAGGAAATGCTCTGGCTGGATGTTCAGTGCTTGGTGTGCCCATTTCTGCCAGAGCAACATGGAACTGGAGGTGTCCTGCTGAAACGTTTGTGTATGTCTGTGTACAGCTCCAGTGGGAATTTGTGCATGTCTGTGTACAACTGCAATGGGAATTTCAGCTCCAAAGCTCCTGCTCTGCTGGGCTCCCTTCACCTGTACTCTCTTCACCAGTAAAAGTGATTTGATATTTTGAAATCCTGCTCAGCAATTTGATATCCTACTAGAACTGTCAGTACTAAAACCATTCTTCTAAACAACAATCAGAAAATATAATTTATACTGGTCTTTATAAATTGTCCTCAGATGTCACTCCTGAGTCAGACAGAAACATTTTAGAAACAAATCTGAGAATTGGTTTTCCTTTTCTCTTTTTTCTTCCTGTTGTTTCTGCAGTTGTTACTTCTCTTTTTGCATTTTTTCCCATTGCTCTCTGTAAGGATGCCAACTCCAGCAGGCCAATTTAACTTGTCTGAATTATTCTTAGAGGATGTCTTGGGGAGTCTTTGAATTTCAGTCACAGTAATACTTCCCTGGCAATACTTTGTGATTTATGGTTAAATGATTATTGTAGTTGATAAATCCTTTATTATTTTGTCCAACTCTGCTAATTTCTGCCATCCTTTTGAAGCAAAATCAAATTAAAAGAAGAGAGCATTTATTAGCATTAATGTGTAATTGTTTGGAAAGCCAGTGCAAACTCTGTAAATCCCATAACTGAACAAGAGCTGAAATGTAACTTTACTGGTAAGTAAGGCATATATTTATTATTCCATAAAGGTAAATATCACTGTAGGAGAACCATCATTCCATACCATCATCTCATTTTTATGTGTGTTTGCATAGTCTACATATAGCAAATTAAGGTTCTGCTTAGAGGATTTAATGTGTATTGTACAAGGCAGTGGAACAATTATTAACATAACATAACTACAGTTTCTAAGTAACAACATCCTTAATGTCACTTAATGAATTTATTCTTAATGCTTCTGGTTTTTGTTTCATTTGTTGGCTGAATCCAATATTTTACTTTATAAACAGCTTCTCCATGCAGGTACAAACCATCTTATATTAAAGCACACTTTGCACACACATTTTTCTCCCAAAAAAATGCTTAAAGGGTTGTTTGTTTGGCTTTTTTTTTAGTATTAGCTCCTTGCTATCAAAATTACTCAAAACTGAAAGTTGCACAAAAACCCTGTTAAGGTAGAAAATGTCTTTCTTACTCCTGGACATAGGTTTTGAAATAATGTGTGCTTTAGATGTGTAGTGGGATCTGTCAGTGGGATCTATTGCTTATCAAGATCAATTGATTACATGCTTGCTTTATGCCCTTGAGGAGAGGAACTTCTGAACGTTAGCATGTGCAGAAAACAAGGGCAGCAGGCCATGACAACCATAATTCCTCACAGTTTTTTGAACCGTTTGTTGCCTGTGTTTTGTCATTGCATACATCACTGGCACTGTGTACAGCTGAGGGAAAAGGGCTGGGACTTGAGTGGTGGCTGCTTAAAGGAATGACACAGTAGAGACCCTTTACTGTCATTGCTCCCCAGTTTCCAATGTGTGAAAAATGTATTGCTTAATTAGCTAGGATTTGTGGGTTGGGGCACAACTGTCAAAAAAATTAGTTTATCCTTAGAGGCTGTAAGCTTTGGGAAATAGTGGTCCAACTGCAGAGGGAGAATGATTGCTGTAAGAGACAGCATCATTCTCCAGAGCTCTGATGAAATGAGCTGTACTGTGCTTTTTACTTGGGGGGAAGTTTCCTAGAGTTTGACTGAAAACATGAGACTACTTTGTATTTACTTTGTGTCTTACAAGAAATATGTTTGAACTCTAACCAGCCATATAGGAAAACTTTCTGGCCAACTGGGAGAGAAAACATTTCTGCCACAATATCTTATTACCCTATATATACAATCTCAAATAATTAGGCATAAAAGAATTTCTATTGTACTTAGAGTGTGACAGGACTTTTCAAATAAAGACATTGGTGCATTAGTTCACCAAATGTGGATTTCTCTGGTGGACCGAGTTGCATGTCACCAGTAGGTGATCAGCTGTTTATATTTACAATTTTTTTTTCTGTGTTGTTTCTGGCCTTTTTTCCAGGCCCTAGGATGTAAAACTCCATGAACTGACTGGATTAATGAATTCAAGCTGTTTGCCATGTGGTCAGGTAAGCCCTCCAGCCCTTCCTCACATTTCAGAGTATACAGAGTGAAGAGCAGGACCATCCCTTTCACTAACACCAAGACACTTAATCAGCTTATCTGTATATAATCTAACCATATCCTTGGTGGCCTCCAGACACAGGCTCATTTTGTTATTTCTTTCCTTGCTTTTAGATCAACATTTCTCTTGCAAAGTCCCTTTACAGTTTTTATGAATAGTACCAATATCATATCAAGTAGCTATCAGTTGTAGGATACATCACAGCAACACGTGGAGCAGGAGTGCATCACAAAGTCCAGCAGACAAATGCAAGGTGTTGCACCCCTGAAACAGCCACCCAGGAGTGCAGCAAAGGCTGGCATCTTTCACAGAATCAGTGGATAAAAGCTTAAAGAATTGGATCAGCGTGTCTGTCCTGAAATTCACTTACTGTACCTGTGGGTACCATCAAGAGGTGTCATGAGTATCATGAAGTGGTATCATGAGTACCTGCTTTCTTGAGATCACTCTTGGGAATGTGATTGTCCTCTCCATGGCTGAAAAGGCTAAACAGCATCTTAAAAGCAAAACCTGAAATTACTCTGTGCATAAAGTACCAAATGGTGCTTCATCAGAAACAAGGATGGTATTGCAGCCATAACTGAGGTTTCTTCCCCCACAGTGTGATTGTAATGGAGCAAGGCAGAACCAGTTTTATGACTTCAGCACCAGCACTGACTTCCTAGAGAAAGTTTTGGCATAACCCACAGTCTCTACCCTTATTTTCTTCTGTCACACCTAAATCAGAGTTCATCAATTCCTGTTTATCCACTAATCTTGAAGAGGGAGAAAAGCCTGTGATAGAAAGCCCTGAGCTGTGCACCTGGCCCATGGAAACAAGTGCAGAAGCCACAATAAGCATTTCCATCTGCCAGAGACCAGAACACAGATCTGTTAGACTGCTCCACTAAAAACAGTTTGTGTATTTCCACATGGTGCATTTTGTGGGAAAATGAGTCTCATAGTAATGTGGTTTGAAATTACAACTCCTTATACAATGCTTTTCTTTTATATTTCTGTAGTGAAAAAGGCAATTAACTTAAACATGATAAAGAAAGAGAGCCTGTAATTCTGATCTGTCTGTGGCAGTGATACTGGATAGAGACAGTTATTGCTACTTGCTAGAAACTAACTAATTTCTAACACTGCTAATTGCTAGAAACTAGTTAACTTTGTATTTAAAATAAATTCTATTAGAATAAAATATCAAGATACAAATTAGCTGTGTAAACTACTTTCATTGTGACAATCTTTAGTCAAAGCTTTTTATTTTTTCTGTGAGGAGACCAAATACATTTTCAGAAATGTTACATTCACTGTATATACCTCTACCTGGCTGGGAAGAAGGCATCCTATAAACTTACTTTTCTGTGTTGGGTACTCCAGTTTTAGCCCAATGACAGTTCTGTATTATGGAAAAAGAAGTGAAAAATGCAGATGATGTTTTGAATCAAAATTGTAAAATATTAATATAGCACTTCTTTCATGATTAGAATGTAATCATATTAAACTTTTCATAGAAATATGGTTATAAGCAAAAAAAAAAAAAAAATAGCTAAAACCCCCAAAATGAACTAAGCAAAAATGCCAACCAAGCCCTAATAGGTGATAAATGAGGCTAATTCAGAATTGAGAAGCAATCACCATGGAAAAAAACCCCAGTTTTAGAGACAAGAACAATTATTATGAACTCCTGCTTGGAGATCTTTCTTCTCTACAGTTTGTAGTACTTAGCACCTGCTCTAGAAACATCTATAAATAACCATTTTCTGTTTCAGACAAAATTTACATTGAAAACTATCTTGGTGCAGCTGCTCAGTTTTTCTAAGATTGTGAATTGCCAAAAAAGGAACACTCATTCCTTGGGGACCTCAGAGTTAAATCCTTTTACTGTAACATGATCCCATGTAGTGGAGCTGTGATGGAAGTCCATTACTACAGCTAGCTGTTCTTAGAGTTGCTCAAACTGAGATCTCAGAAGCTTTCTGTCGATGGTCCTTGCTCTTTTACAATTTCTGTGGCTTTGTAGTTCCATAATTACTGCTCCTGATGGCACAGTGCCCCAAAAATGAATACTTTGATAATTTGCTGCTCTCTTGTACTCCTTGTCACCTGCGGTGTTCCAGCGCACCCCCGCCCTCCTGTGAAAACTACTGTGAGAAGAGTAAGTAAACTTCTGCAATCCTCTGTGCCCGTGCTGGGCATCTTCATCTTGTGTTTTACACTCAGGTTTGATGTGTTGGACATGTTTACTGCACATGAGTTGTTGTTTGTGATTAATGTAATGCATCTCTTTTGTTTCACAAGGAACCGATTCGAGTGGAATCCTTTGGATTTGTTTGGGCATAGGGTTGATTTTAATATTCACTCTGTTTACCTTAATGGCCTTGTTTAAATGGAAGCACCTAAAGCAACAAAAACTGCAAAACACAGGTGAATAAATTCTTCATCAAATAATTTTAGATCATTGTACATTTTAGCTACTCTTAACATGTAAAACCATTGTATATATTCCAGATTCTCAGTACTGTCTTTGTTGGATTGTTTGGTCTTTGTTGGATTGTTTGGTATTTCTCAAACAGTCTCCATGAAATTATCATAGTTATTAGGGAATAAATATCCAGATGTTGACTTGCAAAAGCAGCAATTTCTCTTTGTTGGTTCTGGATCCTGTGAGGATTGTGTTGTTGTATATTCATACCTGGCTTACTTGCTGCTGTTTGAGAAATCATTTATGCAAACTTAAAAGCAAAAAACTTCATAAGGGTTTCACCCTCACTGAATGCAAAAGGAGTTGTTCCCAGGCAGACGATACACATTCAATATTAGCTTTTCATTTTATAAGACTTTAAATAATTTTATTTAATATTGTAGTCTGTGAGAAGCATATGTGGTATATTTTGTGAAGGTGAAAAAAGGTTTTTTCCATTTTGCAAATCCTGTATTTGTGAGGTTTCAGACAACAAATAATAACCGACTAGAAAATATGTTGAATTATTTCAATGTTTATTCTGAAGTAGAAGGTTGTGTTGTCATAGAACAAAAGATTATCATATGTACATCTTAAAACTTTCACTATATCTTAAAATTTTCACTGAGGTTGGAACATAGTTGGACCATAATGAAATCTGGACCTTTAACAGCTCTTCGTTCAGTATAGCATGATGTATGTACTAAATTAACTTCTGTATATTACAGACTCCTCTGTGGAGCCAAACAACATTCTCAAGGCTAATACTGAAAGCAGTGTGAACACAGAAGAAATCAGACACACACCTCCCAGAGAAACATTAATGTATTCAGTGGAAGAATGCACTTGCAGTGACTGTGGCTTGGTGAAACCTCAGACTGGCTGTGAAACTTCATTTCCATTACCAGCTACTGAAGAACGAGCTACTGTTCTAGTTACCACCAAATCTTTTGATTATTGCAACTATGTTCTGGGTGTTGGATGACTGGGAGGGAAGTGTTTTTGTACTGAGTAATAATAAATGAGTTATTCCAGTATAGCTGTAAACCTTAATACTTGCAGTCAGTGGAGAATGAAGAATACTTGCATCATCCTTGGAGATCTCCCATTGTGCTTGCATTAATATTGCCATTATTTCTAATTCTACTATTTCATTAGTCAAGTATTTCTACAGTAACCTCAGACACTCAACTAGTTATTGGAATTTTCAATTTCAGAAAGTCCTTACATAGGACAGCTTTTTCTGCCTTTAGAGATTATACCTACTTACAGCACACATATACAAAATAAACAAGTTTGCAAATATGTATGTTCATGTTAGACTCAGATCTTGTGCCAAAAACTACTTGATGGTACACAGGACTCTTCCAATAGGCAGAAATGAAGACCTACAGTACATCCCCACTCTTGAGTAATTTCAGCACTTGAAATAGGAACGTTCTAAAGATGGATACCCTGTAGAGTATGGAGGCCCCTGGGTTCAGAAGATGTCCCTGGGTCACCCTAAGGGATGCTGGTGGTGCTGGGGAGCACAGATCACAGAATCACAGAATGTCCTGGGTCAGAAGGAACCCACAAGGGTCACTGATGTCCAACTCCTGGCCTTCACTGCAATCCCTGCAATCCCATGTATTTCCTGGTGTGCAGGCTTTCCTTTCAGAGCCAAGTGTTTTCAGACTGAGATTTATTTCTCTTTCATTTATTTTTTTTTTTACTTACCCTTGTTACATTTATAAGGATGCGTGATTAGTCATGCTAGACCACTCTGTGACCTAAAATTAGGAATATATTTCTGTCACCTTGCCTTGCAAGCATTACTTTCCCAATATTAGGCCACAATTTTATTGCTGGAAAAGTGCAACAGAAGCAACAACCACAACAACAATCATCTTTATTTGTAGCTAACATTCTAATTCAGGTTCCTGCATGAATGAGGAATTGAAGTATTTCATTGCATGAAATTTACAAATGATCAGCTACAGCATCATGAGGAGGCTGACACAAGGTTTGGGGTGAGTTGGGAGTTAGGCACTCTGTGTGGCTTTGGCCTCACAGGGCCAACACCTCTCAAATAGGCCTAGAGACTTAAGAAATTTGTTATTATCATCTTTTTGGTTTTATTTAACAAGCCTTTCCGAGCTTCCACCCCGCACAGCACATGCGGGGTTATCTCCACTTTTCTCACCGTTCCTTTGGCGGTGCCGCGTTCCTGCCCCTCAGGACGGCTTTGCCCGCCTGGGGCCGGGCGGCTCCGGGGCCGGGGCGCGCTGAGGTCGCAGGGCCGCGCTGAGGAGCCCCGGGTCGGACGCGCTCCGCGGCGCTCCCGGGGCCGTGTTTACCTTCCGGGGCGCCGGGCGGGTTCCGGGGCGGGCGGTGGCTGCCGGCCCGGCCGTGGCTGTGCGGGAGAGCGGCGGCTCCGGCGGACGGAGCCCCGCGGGCACCATGAGCGGTGAGTGCGGCCGGGCCGGCCCCTCCGCCCGGGCCCGCCGGGCGCTGTGGGGGCTGGCGCGGGCAGAGGTGCCCGGGGGGCCCGGGCGGGAGTAGCACTGCCCTCGTTTTTCCCCGGTGCTCCCTGGTGCCGTGCTGAGGCACAGGACACTTGGGTCTCTTATCTCCACACCCCGTTCCTTGTTCCGGCTCCCCGAAGTGATGTTTTACCCCGTTTTAAATCCTAAGTCTTGCCCTTGAGCGTGACACTGGCTCACAGCCTCACAGCACAAGTGATGCTGGGCTCGGGCATCTGTGTTGCCTCAGCTGTGCAAACTCATAGGAAATACTCCTGAGGAAATAAATGACCAAGAGAAAATAGGAGTTTAAAAAAATTAAAAATATGAGCTCAGGAGCATGCAGTCGGTGGGAGAGGTGAGAACCACGGCTTGTGGAGAAAGGGCCCTGTTGCTGTGTCCCTGTCTGAGTCCCGGTGAGGATGTGTCTGTCTGGATGCGGTAATTTCTGTGGTAGAGGGGAGCGGTGCCGGGGGTGTGTTAAATCTTGAGGGTAAAAGTGTGCTAAATCCTGAGCTTTTTGACGTGTTTGTCAAGGAAATACTCGAAGCTTTGCATGAGAATTATGACCCCTAAACTACAGGACTGGAGGAAGCAGATCTGCTTGAATGAGCAAGCATGGAGATATTTGTTAGGATAGACATAAAATTTCTTATACACTTGTAGATGTAAAGGATAAGTGGTATTTATTTAATATGTATTAAAATACATTGGCAAGGACTTGTTTGGGGCTTTTTGAGAAGGGAGGTGCTTTAGTAAAACTTTGATGGGTTTGTTTGTCCATCGTCAGCAATGGAAGTTGCAGACAGCACTCTGCACCTGAGGACTGGATCACACATTGATCTCCCACCCTGGTCTAATGCATGGTGGTCTTTGTTGCCAAAGGCAGTGAGAAATAAACTGAGGAGCTAACTGGAGTAACTAAATGCTATCTGTTTTGTGGGGAGCAGACATTTCTGAAAGTGAACTGAAAAATAAAACCTCTTCACTTGTGTTTTTCTCTGTTTTGTTCTGACCTTTATGGTAGGAAGAAAGTTGAAGATTTTTGTGGGAGAGATGAGGCAAAAAAAGAGATTAAAATGGGGAAACCTCTTGTGGAAAATGCAAGTAACAGTGAAATCTTTCAAAGCATGGGAAAAGAAAGTTTCTCAAATGTTTCAGATCTTGACACAATATAGACTAAATCCTAATTACAAAATTTGTAAGAGTCATCGTTTTCATATGGAAAACCTCAGCCCTTCAAATTCAAACTGGGAATAGCCTTGTGCAAATTTATGCAAATTGGAGCCTAAATCTTCCTAGGAGACTAATCTTTGAGAGCTCTATTTGGATTCTGTGACTTAAAAGGCAAGGTAACACCTCATGTGGCCTAAAGCTTCATCGGGTAGTTATTTTTGTTACCTTTAATATTTTTTTAAGACAACAAAGAGATACATGTTTATGAGAAAAGAAACATTTCATTACTTAAAATAGAGTAATGCCTAGGGTGACAGTAACAGTAGTGGTTCAATTGCATAGTAACCACTCATGTATAGCCCCTGCCAAGAATTGTGGGGGTTTTCCAACAATTTCAATTAGCAAGGTAACAAAAACCCCCCTAATGTTGCACTTTGACAAACATTACTGTTACACAGTGCTGTACAGTACTTTTCTAGAATAATATAAGTCAAACTGATCAAAACAGAGAAATATCTGAGATATCATTATCATGCTTGTTTCAGATAAGGGAGATGGCTGATGTTAACCTCTCATCAATTTTAACCATATCCTTCTTTTAGTGCCTGTAACAGCACTGCCTCTATGTACTTCTATGCCCAGTTTTAGCCCTTTTAACTAACAGAGGTGTTCCTAAAATATAGATGGAAGAACTTCTTAGTGACTATAATTATGGTTAATGTTTATTTTCTTTAGCTACAGTGTATTTCTAGTGGATGTGGAGGTAAATTCCTGTTGATGTAAGCCTCACCTTAATATTACTAATGCTGCTTACTAATTGCATACTCATATTTTATTCTACAGTGCTGACAAGGCTGAACTATAAAGACAAATAACACAAGGATACAAGATTTATGTGCTTGTCAAGAATTGGGGGTGTTGTCTTTTGTTTAATGACAGTTTCAAAATACTTAAAAATACAGCTTGTGGTGGGGGGAGTAAAGCAGTAGAATCATAATAATGTAGTATAAGGTAGCATTTAAATTAGCTCTGTGTTTGCTTTATTTTAAACTTGTGCCATCAGAACCTGCATTAGAGCAAGCAGGAGAGATTGCAGTCTGAAATGTTGCATTCAGGACATAAATGCAAGTTATATAAGAGCAATATGAGATTTATTTATTTTACTTATATGCTGCATGTGGTGCTGCAGAGGGCTTTACCTAGGAAGAACTGGATGAAAATCCTGCTTTCCTTTCCTTAGATGCAGTTTGCTGCTGCTGTAGGTGTGGATGTTTGTGTCAGAGCGTGGAGAGCAATTTGTTTGAAAAATAGGAAAGCATGACCTTGAACAACAGAAAATGAAGAGGGTCACAGAGGCAGGTGCAGTACCTGAGCCTATTTTAAACCCTTTTTGACTGAGTAGATGTTGGTAGGAGAAGTCTCTTGAAGTTTCTTAGTTTTTCAACCTTATACTTATGTTTTCACAATTATTTTTAGAGTCCAGTATGAACTTCCGTTTTTTATGGCAATAGTCTAAATACAGCCTTTTTCTGAGTAATGCTGTTTTTATACATTCTGTGTTTTGTATTTGTATGTGTGTTGCTGTAGGTTTTACTGCTGTTCTGAATAAAGAGAAGGGTATTTTAGTCAGTTTGTAATACACTCTTGGACTTAGTCAGCTGGAGTTGATCACACTTAATTGGTGCTCTTGTCTAAAAAGATGCCTTTTTTTTTTTCCCCTGAAAACTTAGTTTAGAAAATGAAAATGTGGAAGAACTAAATCTTCAACAGAGTTAGTGGAAATGTATTTTTACCTTCCACCTACTGGAAACAAAACCATCACAAAATAGTACCATATTTAAATAGTACCATATTTTCTAGATTTGTTACAAAGAAAAATATACCCTTAGCATGAAAAGAGACACAACCTAATCTTTCAGGTTTTTTTTTTTTTAACAGATGTAATGAGTATTCTTTTCCTTATACCTGTAAAATTTCTGTTAAGCAAAGGAATTTAGGATGTGCATTGAAGAGAAACCCCAGCTAAGCCCTCGGCAGAGACATTACATGGCCTTACAGCCCTGCTGATGGTGAGGGTGATCTGAACTTCAGGAATTACTGGTTGCAATCTCCTGCAGTCATGATTGTTAGTAGTGAAAATTTGCAAGTAAAATAAGGAGAAAATACACATTGCACTCAGTTATGTAAAGTTGAGGTTGTTCGGTATCACATGCTTTAGAACATTAATTAGTATAATGAACATTATGAACATAAATACAGATACATACTAATGAACATTAGTATGTATTCTGTATTTATGGATTTTTATATTGTCATGGTTTGGAATCTAGTTGCAAACCATTTCTGTTACCAAATAGACACAAAGAGTCCCAAGAGATGTGAATTAAAAAACTATCATGTATTGCATTTGGAAGACAAGCTTGGCCCACCTACTAATATTTTCATTTGATAGATGTTTTTCTGGTCGTGCAATTATTCATTGCATGCATTTGTTCTGATGTTGTCTCAGGCTATTAATATAAAGAGAAATATTGTGTTGTGCCTCTTCTTGCAGGTGTGTGGGTAGTGTAAGACTAAGAGTAATGAGTTTTGAAACAACAGAGAAAATCTGCAGAGTTGTGTATATTCAGTGTTACTGAATGTGAGAGGCTGCTCGGAAAGTTGAGATTTCTTCCTTATTTTATGGTGATGTGATTTATTATAAAACAAATGGATACAGAGGCATGTATACATCTCCATTTTGGCAATGGATGTGTGGGAGGAACATTGAATATTGTTTGATAGACTGTAACCCCTGCAGGAGCACAGAGGGGAATGGTAGGGATTGTATGAATTTAGCTTTATCTTCCCACTGGCATAGCTGGCATGGCTGTTAGGAAGTGAAACCCATTTGGTGTGGGGTTTGAACCTGGAGTGCTTGACTGGCACTGGGCATTGTCTGTGGGCACTGGAGTGCTTGACTGAGAGCCCCAGAGCTCACACATCACATGTCTGCACACTCTGAGTCACAGTTCAAAAGGGGAAGCACAACTTCTTGAAAATGCCCTGTAATCAGCAAAAGCAGCATTGAGAAGCTTGCTTAGCAGCTATGTTTGCTTGTTTTTCCTGTTGTTTTCATTATTCTGGCAAACTGTGGGGGTTTTCTTCTGTTTAATGACTGTATGAAACTATATGGAATATAAATTCTATTAATATAGATTAATATGAATACATATAAAACATTATATCAGTATAATGGATATTTCTATGTTGTGTGAATATACATATTTAAAGGCAGAGTCTTTTCAACAAATTCTGTTATGTCCTGCTGGTTTAAAAGCAAACTGTTTTGAATGGGATTATGAAGAGAGGAAATTCTGGGGTTTGGACCTCTCACTGTTGGATAGCAAGAGGAAGCACATATCTGTGATGTCATCTCTGTTTGCTAGTGTGTGGTGTTTGATTTTCAGTGTTGGGAGGAATTTGCTCCTGCAGAGTTTGGATAATTGGCTTTCAGTCCATATGTACATTAGTTGAATGTTCTTTGAGAGAGAAAGGAGAACAGAATGACTTAAACCCAAGAGAGGTCACAGAGATGAATGCTTTGAACTCAAGCTGAGAATAAAGAAATTATAGGGGCAATGTAGGTTATCTTAAAGAATAAATTTTACCATATTCATGGGAGTTTATAAAGGATATTCCAAAAAGCAAAGTATTGTGTTATTGTTGAAATAGCTTGAGAAGTTAAAGATTGTCTTGCATAGTTCCTTCTATAGTAACAAAATAGATTTTATAGGTGTTAATCAGAAGAACTATGCTAGTAGTTACATTTTGAGGGATTTACTGTAACAGTTGCTCTCTGCTCACCTGACTTAAAGCTCTTTCTGCACTAAGGTTTGACAGCAAGAAGATACTCCTGGTGTCTCACTCTTGTTTTCCATTATTTTCTAGTGCTGTGATGCTGTGCTACACTGGCAGTAGTGCTAAGAAGCTCTGGGCAAGCTGTGCATCAGCTTGAATAATTATTCTGTATTTGGTACTGGTGAAATGTATCTTCAAAATGTTACTAACATAAGAATCAAGATGGTATTTGAAACATTATTGCTGCCTGTTAGAAAAAGGCTACTTGAAACCTCAAGGCATAGTTCTTACTGCATCATTTTACTTAGAGAGAATACATTAGTTAATTTAGTGGAATAATTGGCTTGGGAAGAAAGTTTTCCGGGCCCAAAAGAAAGACATTTGTGTTGGCCCAAATGTATTTTAAAAACCAGTTTCTTTTAAAATTATATGATTTTGTTGGATTTCAGGTTCACAGACCAACGACACTAAAAGACAATTTCTTCTAGAACGGCTGCTGGATGCAGTTAAACAGGTGAGAAATCCAACAGACATTTCTGCACTGCCTTACTCAGAGTTGTCACTACTAGCAGGGACTGTCTTTGCTTTCTCTTTAACAAAGAGAAGGAAAAGGATGAAAAGGATACAAAGAAGAAATTGTGGCTTTCATAGTACAACTGAGTTGTCTGCTGGCAAACAACTACTATGCAGTATTTATTTAAAATTCTTGTTCTGGACAGGTTATCTTTATAATAGATTTATTTTAAATATATATTATACTATACAATATATATTAGGAATATATGTTCTTGTAATCCTGATATGACTGAACTAAATTGCAGTGTACTGCAAAGTCTAACTTAGTTTACATTTTAGAGTAGCAGTTTGTTTTCTTTGCACTAGATTTTTAGTGAATGGTTAGAATACATGTAAAGATGTCATTTATGTGTGTCTATGTTTGTGTCAATGTGAAGTTCAGCAAGTAGAATTTCATAGACTGGAGTCAGTTTGGGAGAGCTTGGGAGGCAAAAGAATTCCTCACGAGTAAGCCAGTGAAATGCTTTTTAAAGAGTGGTTCTGTAATTGTAGCACTGAGCTGGGTAAGAGCAATGTCTGGTTTTGTGGGTGCACATTTGAAACTCAAAAGTAGTAATTTCCACTCAGTTTTCAGTTTTCTGAGGGAGCTGCAGGTGTGTTGCTCTGGCTAGCAAGGATCTATTTGAACTACAGGGGCAGCCCATTAGTGTAACATGATGCTCTAGAGCACTTTTTGGATGCAGGCTGTATTTTGCAATGCTCTATTTTGTGCTGCTTCCTTTTTTGATATGACTTTTTTTCATGTGTACAAATAGTGCAGAATACTGAATTTATTTAGTGTAAAAAAAAGCTTTTAAATTGTTTTAAAATCTGTTTATTGCAGTGTCAAATACGATTTGGAGGAAGAAAAGAAATTGCTTCAGACTCAGATAGCAGGTAAAATAGTGTAAGAATTACATGCCTAGATTGTGCATCATAATGACATAAAACATATGGCACAAAATATTTGACATGCTCAAAAAATTACATTGCATGGAAGGTAGGTGATCTGAAGCTGAAATAACATGATTAACAGCCCCTCTAGCAGGTGAGGGTGATTTCTCAAATTGATTGCCAATTCTTCTGAATGTAACCTGAGCCTCAGCTTTCAATCATTATGATGAAGCTGTGGGTATAAGTAGATTATACTGCTGGCAAATAATGAGATTACTGCATAGGAGGGAATCTTTCACTGCTTACAAGATAATGGTTCACTTGATATTTCCTATTTAGAGATCTGCAATAAAGTTGCTGTGTAGATACATGATTTTCACTAGGATTTTTTCATAGTTCCTTTTACATGAGTTCATTAAATTTCTGTTGCAGAGTGACCTGTTTGTGTGCTCAGTTTGAAGCTGTGTTCCAGCATGGCCTGAGGAGAAGCCGGGGGTTGGCGCTGACAGCAGCTGCAATCAAACAGGCAGCAGGTTTCTCCAGCAAAACTGAAACAGGTTGGTTGCTCATTGTAGCTATCTTGTTTTAATTAGTTCTTATGTTCAGTCAAGTGATATAATTTCTAAAAGAAGTTTGAAGCATGGCACCAAACTGCAGATTGTTGGTAGGATGCTCTACACTTGTGGAAGTGGCAGTGAAAATGACTGTTGCTTCTGTCTAGTTTAACTTGCATTCCAAGTTTCTCTAGAAATGTTGCTCTTGGGAAATCTGCACTTCCTACTGTTGCATCATGTATAGTGCCAAATTTATTTTGAATTCTGGCAGAGATCAGGGTTGTGTAATTTTGGTGTTTTTAAAACAACGTTTTTATTCTTGACGCTGTCTTAGTTCTTTATGTGCCATGTTCTATATAGGTCAGATAGGTTTAACTTCTAATTATGGCTGTGATTTTGGAAGGAAAAATTATATTGCTTGCATTGATTGGGTTGGTTTTTATTACATTCAAAGAAAAGACTCCTTTATTTTTCTCTTCAACTGTTTCTCTTTTCTTTAATCAGAACTATGTCAAGATACTGATCAGTTTTTATCAATATTTGGGAAAAACAGAAAGTGTATAGTGGAGAAAGATATTTTTGCTGTTTAAATCCCACACTTCTGTTTTCTAAAGTAACTTGAATTTGTTATTTGCATGTCTGCAAATTCTGAAGCTACCTGTTCCTTTGGACCTGCCTTCCAACATTTCACATCAGCAGTAACATAGAGTTCTAAAGAAATCTTTTCCCTTACATAATATGTTTCCAGTTGGACATATAAACCTGTGGATAAAATACAAGCTTAAATATGCTTTTAAATGTGAATTCTGTGTAAAAGTGTCAGATCAAATCCTTTAATTTGTGTGGCTTTTTCAATGAAGTGCAAAGTTCTAGTGCTTAAATAGCCCAAGTTCTGTAGGAATAAATAACTTATTTAACTGGTGGGTTGCACGAGGAGAGTAAATGATTCACCTTTGTTCAAAGTTATATTGTTACCTGTTTGTTTTATAAATTTACATGTAAATGTATTCAGGTATGAGCTTAGTGGTTTTCTCGGCAGGGTGGTTGTCATTATTGTCATTCCTAATGCTCAATTGCAGAGCCAGTGTTCTGGTACTACGTGAAGGAGGTGCTGAACAGGCACGAGCTGCAGCGCTTCTACTCCCTGAGGGCCATCACGAGCGACACCGGCCGGGGGCGGGCCTGGCTGCGCTGTGCTCTGAACGAGCATTCCCTGGAGCGATACGTGCACATGCTGCTGGCAGACAAGGGCCGCCTCAGGTACTGCCTCTGACACCTTTCTAGGGCAGGAAATGCTGACAGTGGCTGAAACCCAGGCAACAACCAAAACCCACAGCTGTAGTAGTACCCCATATTCGTTGCTGTGCCTGTCAAGTCACTTAAAATAACTTTTTAAAATTTTTGTTGGCCATTAAGGTAGTAACTTGTGCCTGTATCAACATTTGACCTCTTCTCTAAATCCCCTCCCTGTTCTTTCAGCAGTTTTCCTCACTGCAGCCTGGACACCACACTTTAAGGTGCCTCTCTCATTCCACTAAAATAGTGCACAACTGCAGCCACGTCTGATCTCAATTCATCAGTGGTAATTGCCTGTTGCCTTTTGGAGATCCTGTAATTGCAGAGCTCCAGCAGTGCAGCAGTGGGGAGCTGCAGCTGCAGAAGTGGTTAGGTAGCAGCTTGTGAACCTTTTGTTACAGTTACTGAGAATAACTTACTACACCTTGTGAAATCCTAAAGTACTTTGGAAGTGCAAAATGCACTTAGGTTCATTACTGAGTCCTGCCTTTTTCTCATTTGGCTTCAGCTTCTTTTCTTTATGAAAACTTGAGGCATTTTCCTCTTTTAATCAATAACTGTTGAGCTTGCTCAAATGACTTGATCAAGTCCAGTGGATTCAGCAGAAAGGCATTTTATTCATTTGCATTGATTAATGGATGAAGTGAATAAGAGTATTGCCTGAACTGAGTTCATTAATATCTCCTTTTCATTTCTAGTTTGTTCCAGTCATCTGTAGCTTTCTTGCAAAACAGATTTTGGAGAAATCAAATAAAGACAAATGAAATAACAAATGAAATGAAAGAGGTCTGAAAAGCATTAGGAAATTAGTGACTTGGATTGCTGTGCCACTAATTATTCTCATGCTTGTAGCAATACTTGCACAGTATCAGGATTATCAACACACTGCATTGTAATGCTATTTATAAAAAGGTTTATTCCAGAATGTTTAAGACTTAAATGTTACCCGAATTCTGATGGAATTTACAGAATCAGTTTACATCCCCAGTTATGTGTTTTGGAAACTTTTCAATGAATCTGTTAGATTTGTTTAACATATGCAGTGTAAATCCCCAGACCTTGAGTGGCTTTTTTTCCCCTAAAAAAGTGCAGAGCTAAAACTAAAGAAAAAAAAATACTCTTTAGCATGTCTTTTTAGAACCATCTGAACAGTTATCAATTTGAGAGCTACAGGGAGTTACTGTGACATAAAATTGCATCCTTTGGGGAGCTCCTGCTTATTCTTCAGAGGGTTTTTGTCTTTCAGAAGTGAAGTATATATTACTATAGACTGCATGTCCTTTTTTCCCCTTTAAATTACAGTGTCTTCTATGAAGACTGGTCTTTTATGATGGATGAAGAACGTTCTAGCATGATCCCTACAATGGCAGCTGGTAATGCTTTCTCTTCAGTATTATTGCTCTTGGAAAACATTTTGGGATGTTGCATCTGCTCTGGCTGTGAGGAATTTCTCTAATACACTGTATTTTCTCTAATACACTCTGTTTATGTGGAGAATGTGTGTCAGAAGCACAGCCAGGGTGAGCAGTCAAGGTATTTTGCCAATTTATGCTGTGAATTGGTGGATTATTAAAATCCTGGATCTGGCCTTCTTACAATTCAAAAATTTTCCACATAAATTTTTTAACTCTTCAGCAGTCAAGGCTAACTTAAAACCAGTGCAGTTTAGAGAAGCAAAGTGGGTTATTCCTGATTAGAAAAGAGTAATGATGGAATTTATAGTAACATCAAAATTACAGGTAAATACAGATAAGGAGAGTAAGGAATGATAACAAATAATTTACTTTTCTAGAGTTCATCCACAGAAGTGATGCATTGTTACCTTTTATACCCCTTTTTTCAGATACATGATCACATGCTTCATTCTGCCAGACAAGGTTCTTGGGTGTTTTTGCTAATAGAATATAGGAACCCACAAACAGTAAAGTTGCAGTGAAATTGGTTTAAATAAAAGGTTATAAATAAATGAGTTCACCGTACTTTTTGATTATTTAATGTGCAGCTGAACAGCCATCCAGAAGAATTCAGAAGTGATTGCATCAGCATGAATATAATCTAGAAAGGAATGAATGGTACATGAAAGAATAAGAATTCATGCATTGGGAACTGTGGGAAATTTTTTGAAAAAATGTTTTGCATGTCACAATTTCATTAATCCTTAGCTTCTGTGTTCATAACCTGCATGTGCAGTATGTGGTGCATTTGTGGTCTCTTTTTCTCCTCTCTTTTTTCTGAAGGTCTGAACTCCATTCTTTTTGCTATCAACATTGATAATAAGGATTTAAATGGACAGAGCAAATGCACACCCACTGTGTCAGATTTGTTGAAGGAATCCACACAAAATGTGACTTCCTTGCTGAAGGAGTCCACCCAGGGCGTCAGCAGCCTCCTGCGGGAGATCACTGCCTCCTCTGCCGTCTCCATTCTCATCAAACCCGAGCAGGACTCTGACCCACTGCCTGTTCTGCCCAGGAGTGTCAGTGCTGGTAAGCCTCTGGCAATGTTAGTGCCATTCAGAGACTTAGGAACTACTCAGGTGTGTTTAAATAACTTTTTAATTTACTTTTAATGTGCTGTTGTAGAGCAGAAGTCTTAAAATAAGTGCGCTGTGCATACAAACCACTTGAGAGGGTAATTAAAAAGCATGAAATTGGAAATATTGGGTGTGAATAGTGGATGGTAACTGTATTTCAGTATTCTTGTATCATTGTGAGAGGGAAGCTAAACTGTTTTATTGGTAGAGCTTTGCTTGTGACCTGAGTTTTAGTTTCTTGTTCACAAAATTGTGCTTTGAAGTTTGTGATGTAATGATTTGTCACTTTTGCCACCTTGCCAGTCAGACATACAGTGAATTATATATTTTGTTAAATATCAGATGCAAATTTTAGCTTATAATCTGCTTCAAGTAGTGACTGTGTTTACAGTCTGAATTCCTATGCAAAGCAGATAATTGCCTAAATGAAGATTTACTCATACACTCTTTACCTTTAGAGTTCTTAGTGTTAGAACCAGCTTGTATGATGTTAGTTACTAACAAAAACCCAAAGTCTTAATCTCTTATTATTTGAAATCAGTCAAGGAAAATGTGATTTTCGTTATATATTTTTTGTTCCAAAATTAACAAAGTAATATTTTATTATCTCTGTTTCTGGAAGTTGAACTAAAAGTTAGTTTTGCTTTGTAACAGTACAAAACAGCAGGAAGATTTATGTGCTTTTCAATTAAGAAAATTGGGCAGCAAATTGTTTTGGTTATGAGAAAAAGGCACAAACCCCACATGAGAATCTGGTAGGAACAGAAGTTGAGATAAAATCTGGTTTTTATTGGCATTCAAAATAGATTTTGTCTTAAAACACAGTTTTTAGAGCAAACTTGTGGTAAAGCTTTTGTTGTATAGCACTTAAATGAGATTAAAATTGTATGTGAGACTTGACTTGGGATAACTTTGTTGTACAGAATAGCCTTGCAAGATGAAGGGCAGTAATTGGCCATGTGGTGCCTGTGACTCCACAACATGATGTACCTGGTGTGTACAGCACATGTGCATACAGAACCTGAAAGGTACAACTTCCAGTGAAATGCCACTTAAAAAAATTGAGTTTGTTTAAATGCAATTACATGTGGAACATTAGAGCAAGTCAGATGTTTCCATTGAAGTCTCTGTTCTTGGTTGTAATTCTGTTTGCAACCAGAATGGGTTTTAACATCCTTTTAAAAGTATGTTAGTGTGCTTTGTGGATATATAACAGCTGGAGTTGAATTAAACAGAGCAATTTGGTCCCAGTGTGAGTGTCTTGGTGAGTGATTTCTGATATTTCTTGGAGTGCTTCAGCTTTGCATTTAGCTCCATGTGCACATCAGATTCAGTGAGAATAGGTAATAGTGTAAAAATAAGTGCTGGCACTGAATACATCTGGTGTAATCAGAGAGAATTTCAGTGTATTTCTAGACCAAGAGCTAATTAGCTGAAAGCTGACTATTCAGTTTTTAGAGTATAGACAAAACTGTTTGATTGCAGGTTGTGGTTTGTTCTTTTCAGTGCTCCATGCTTTCTCTGTTGTGCAGACCTGCTCTGCTTGTATACTAGGTGTAATAGGAGAAAATAACAGGAAGGCTAACTTACTATTTTAAATTTAATTTCATGGGTTTGTAGAACTTTTTTTCCAGTTTCAATTGAATCATGTTATGAATGCATCTCCAGAATATCTTTTAAAATCTGAACTATGTAAGACTTATAAAATAAAGCTGTTAATTAGAGATTTAAAAGCTCGTGTGTGTGGAAAGATAATGAATGCCATGTAGATCTAAGTGGTTTTTTCTTTATTAAGTAAGTTAGTATATGAGCTTTTTTAAGAAAAGAAAAGGTTTCATATATTATTTCTCTTTTCTAAACTATGTAAAAACTTTGTATTACTACTAGATTTGAAATACAAAAAAGATCGAAAAAAGAAGAAGAGGGTGACTAATATTATCTCATTTGATGAAGAGGAAGATGAGCAAAATCTGGGGGATTGCACAAAGACTCTGATGACAGGAGAAAGTTCAGAGGAGAGTGTAGACAGATCTTCAGTTCTTGCATTGTCTTCATCTGAAAGCACTCTGGGAAAAAACCTGAATGGGAGTGAAAGTAACCATTCGTGGAAGAACAATTCAGTATTCATGAATGGAGAGTATGAATACCAGAAACTGGATGTGAAGAGCATTGATGATGAAGATGTAGATGAGGATGAGCTGTATGGAAAATCATTAGGAAATAAAGGCACAGAAGGTGGAACTGAAGCTTCTGAAAAGTAAGTATTGGTGCAGGAGATAGTGGTAGACTTTCCATGCTTCCCCTCCACCCCTTCCCTTTTTTTTTTATGGCTACTGGAAATTCATGTGTTGAACTGAACTGTAGATTTTCTCTCTTTTTTTTTTTCTCTCTCTTTTTTTCTTCTCCTCTGTTTTTTTTTCCCTTTTTTTTTTTTTCTTTTTACTGTTTAAACAATATATGCCACTGCAGTGATGATGTTTTCCTTCTAAGTTTCACTGAAGACCCAAATTTTGAGATATCAGAGTTCTTGTTCTCCTTGAAGTTCTCAGTTGTTAAAACTCTGGCATGATATAACCAGGATATAGTTCTGGCCTACTTGATGTTTCCTCATTCTTAGTATGATGGCAATTCTATTTTGGCTTCACAATAAAAATGTGTATTTTAAACAGAGTAAGCTTGTTACATCAAAGTGTAGACAGTTCAAAAAGGCAGGAAAAAACTGAGAGAGAAAGAATAATTTTAGATACTGATATGCTTCTTTATTTCTGACAGAAATTTGTTTAGAGAAAAAGGCAAGTGCTGCTTATCTCCTCTGCTTTGGAATGTCTGGTCTTTAATCAATTAATGTAAGGCTGACCAAGAAATTGGCAGGCAGATTGAAATGAAGATTTTTCTTGCAGTGGTATCTCTGAAAGAAACATAAGCATTATGAACAGTAATACTGGCTGTGTAAATAGATTGGTTTGTTTGTTTGTTTGTTCTAAATAGGCCTCGTGAAATAGTCCCGTGCAATTCTCAGATATGCAGTTGGAGTCCTCTGCAGGTCCTGAATGATGACTCAGATGTTCTATTTCCTGTCAGTGCTGTTGGCTCTTACTCCCAAACAGGTGGGCATTTCAATTCACAGAATTCCAGCAACCATTACTGTAACATGGGACAATGGTAAGAATAACAGGATTGTACAGACACAGCAGGTACTGCACAACTGGGATAAAAAGTTCAAGTTTATTCTAGTTCTGAATCAGAGTTCTCCATTTGAGTAGTTACTTAGTTAAGGGGGAGTTATCAATGTCAAAATAAACCAGAGTTTCATTGGGATTAAGCTGTGGTCTCTTATTTTATTGAAGTTTAGGATAGTTTTATAAAAAGTGTCCATATCAGTTTTCTAGATACCTCTAAGCTGCAAGAGGCTCCAAGTGTATTTAAGAAGTTGAATTCAAATTAATCTTGACATACCAGAGAGCAGCTGGAAGCAGTTCAGTGGAAGCTGTTAATTGTTGAAACACAGTGTAAGGAATGATGGACTAGGAAATACTTGCTCAGAAAAGGATGTGGGAATTGTAGAATGATTTGGGTTGGAGGGCATCTGCAGAGATCATTTATTCTGACTGGCTTTCTGAGCTGTGAGCACCTCTTGCCAGCTCACATCTAATTTTTCCTGTGCCAGTATCCTCAAATGGTTTTCTGCAGGTTACAAGCTGATAGTGAATGAACAGAGCTGTGCATGAGTGGCATTTGTAAGTGTGAGCTCCGTTGGCTCTGCTGGGGCCTCAGCTGCAGCTGTGTGCAGTGAGGGGCACTTCCAGAATGATGTGGACCATTTGAAGCAAGCAACAAAAACTGTCAAAGGAACAGAAAAGACCTGGTGCTTTTACAATATTTGTATTAGTACCAAAAACAAACAAAAGAAGTCCACCAGCCCTCCCCTTCACCCTGTTGATATTTTTCTAGCTGTTCATAAAACACTGAACTTTGGGTGTACTCATTTCAGTGACCATTTAAAAACTTGTCAGTGGTATTCAAATAATGTTTTAATTGTAGTATATTTCTCATTTTTTGCATACACATTATATGTCCAAGAATTTAAATGGATTGTTGATTGAAGGCCTGTGAAAAAGTGGAATTCAGTTGTGTAAGTTCAGTGACAAAACTGTGAATCATAAAATAATGCTGCACTGCCCTCTACTGTATTTTAAAATATGTACCTCATAAGAAATGCCAGTAGTTAAAAGAAAAAAGGACATTTAAAATTATTTCTTGTGCTGCCATATTTTTCAATTTACAAAGGAATGGATTTAGAAAACATTGGGTAGTTTGTGGCATTGTGATCTCTTCAATACAAACCAGAAACTGTTGGGGAACATCCACAGGTTGGAATCTGGAATACAAAAATCCATTTCTGTCTGTGGGGGGTGTGTGTGGATTGGGAACTCACAGTCGCTGTCAGTGGATGCCATGAGGCATCAGGGGCATGAGCTGGGTTTTGAGCTGAAATCCAAAATCAGGAGTGCAAGCCAACACTTAGTTCTGGAGGCAGATGAGGAATATCTGTTTATATCTGTGTGCATCTTATGCATAGCTGTCCCAGGGAGGGGCTTACCCTTACTGAGAAGACACCAAAGCCCCTTGTTTTGTGTTGCTTATCTCAGAACTGCTTTGAATGCAATGCTCAGCCTGCTGGAGATGATCAACAGATCCCATTCAGATCCCTTCTGGGCACAGGACAGATATTTAATCCTCCTTCTGTCCCTCTCTGTGACCTGTCATGCAAGTGAGAGTGATCCAGCATTGGGCTGGTGAAGGGCCTCAGTCGATCAGAGCTGGGAAAGCCCCCAGACCCCACTGTGTGCTCTCCTGCTCTCACCTGTGAGCAGGGGGAGCTGATGGAGGGTGCAGGCTGGGCTGCACTGGGTGCCCATTGCACACCCAGTGCCAGCAGTCAGGGACACAGGGAGCCAGGCACCCTCTCCTCAGGCCCACTGACTTTGCTGAGATTGAAAGCTGCCTTAGGCACTTGTTTGCTTGGCTCTGGGAGCTGCACTTGTGCTGGGTGAATGATGTCAGAAGGAACATGCATTGGCTTATTCTGAGGGCAGTCCAGCCCACTAACTGCCAAGCTCATTATTATCCTGATTTTTTTTGTTAAAATATGCTTAATGAGCTATTGTAAAATATATAGTTTAACCCAATATTTTGGTTTAGAGGTTTTAATACCAATAAATAACACATACACATATATATATATATATTGGAGATAGCATTATCTATAGTGTTGTATGTTAATATGTGTTTTCAGTATTAATCTGTTGCAGTGCTCCAGGGATGTGTCAGGGCATATCATATCTCTGGGTAGCTAGAAATGAGAAAGCCTCCATCAAAATGCAGTTGCTTGGAACAAAAATGGATTATGTATTTTAGGAACTGAGCTTCAGTAATGTCTATGGCTTCAAAAATAATTTTCTCCATAATAACTTTATTTCCCATTAACTTATTTTCTAGAATTTCTGCTTCTATTCTATCAGAATGGAATCTGCTCTGTTTAGGATTGTTTTGTAGTATCTTCGTAGCCCTTACATAGTGAGATGCAGAGCACATCAATAAAATATGATTTTTGTTTGTTTCCACCTGAGCTTCCTCCATGACAGGCTCAGTGATGTGGATGTTTTGGTGCCGACAGCTGTGGATCTGTGGACAGATGCACATTATTCATGCTTTTTAAACAAAATCTCATCTGTCTGATTCCTGATGGTTGGTACAGGGACGTAAGGAGCCAGGGAAAAGCCATGGTGCTCTGTTGGGAATACAGAAAGCACTGATGTCTTTGCAAGGTTTCATGTGCTGGGGACTAGCCACAGATTCTTCTCCTGCAAATCACAACCAGATTTGTAGTGAGCAGGAGGTGCTCCAACTCTGGGGGCTTGCACAGTAACTTCAGGAAGAAATCTTCTCATGGCTGTGTAACTCTGTGCATGTCAAGTATAATTTAGGGATTGTGCTATGCTTTGATTTTTTTCCCCTAAGAGTCCTGACAATCCTGCTGGCATTCAGGGTCAATCTGCAGAACCAGCTTTGGAGACAGAATTAAAAGTGTTTAAAAGCTATAGCAAGTTGAGTGTTTCTGTTTAGAAAGGTAACCATCTAGCTTCTGGATTTATGTTTTTATTTTATTTTTTGAGTAGTGTAACCCAAAGGAAGCTAATGCTTGTGCATTCTGCTTTAGATAACTTGGAGAATGGAGAGGGGCATGAACATGCTGTTCATCCGGTAGAACTGGTTCCAAGGAGGTCTGATCTTCCTTACAGGTATGTGCCAAATATGTTTGTCCTGAAAGAAAAAAACCTTCCCCCTGTAGCTGCCAACTTATTGTTAACTAATGCACTTAGTACTGCAAAACCAACTGCTCATCAGGGTACTTCTGCATATGTTTGGAAAGACAAATGCAAAAAACTTGCAGTTGCCTTTTTTACATAGTTTCATACACTGAACTTTCCTAATTATCTTGAGAAAGTCACTTGCTCATGTCAAATAACAGACCTGGCTTCCTGGTTTTGAAAATAGGTTTTATCTTGGTTTTTATGTTATTTTTTTACTATATTCTCCATGGCCTTTTAATTTGGAATTTTTCTGTGCCTGCTTAAATCAGACTCCCAGGAGATACATTAAAAGATTGTTCAACATATTTTTATTAAATATGGGTGAATAGGACAACAATTCTAGTTTCTGGAATATTTTTTTAAAGTTTTGAATTCAGGATTTTGTTTTCATATATTGATTTTACTGTGGTTTTCTGACTAGAGTGGAAGTCAGTCCTCCAGCTCAAGTGAATACTTTAAGCAGTATGTTGCCTTCAGCCACTGTGCCAGAATCCATGACAATTAGTAAGTACTTCCTTGATGTCTCTAGATTGATAGAAATACCTTTGAAAGTCCTGTAATTCTTTCTATTTTTGATTCAATAAAATCTGCTTAGCGAGTCTTGGAGCACTTAATTTCTGATGTTCTGCTGTTGTTATAATAACTGCTCTAAAATGATGTTTGTATTGGCAGGTTATGCTTCATTGCAGCTGATATGTCCTTATATCAAATGTGGCTTCAGTAGTTAAATGAAAAATAATGATTTGATTAACATCTTTAAATTTCTTCAAGTTCTGAGGGTTAGTTCTGATGTACTCTTGCTTATTTTGCCTGTTGTCATCAATGGCTAGTCAGAAACAAACAAACAAACCCCACTCTGTCTGTGGTTTTGATGTGAAAATCTGCTCCAAATAAATGTGGACTTTCACAAAAACTTGAGGTAAGATTAAAGGGGAGGACAGTCATGTTTCAGTGGCATTAAGAGCAAAGCTAGACAGGATGAAATAGTCTTTGCTGCAGAGGTAGATTAATGGAAGCACAGGCAGTTTGTTTATCACATGTTTGATCTTTTTTCTTTGCATACACTTGTAGAACAAAGATTTAGTTCTTAAACTGAATGTCTAAGCTTGTAACCCAGTATGTGTTTATGTTCCTCAGTGTACAGACTGTTCTGTAACTGAACAGGCTTTGTTCCTAAAGCTCTTGGGTGTGTGTTTGTTTCTTCTTATAAATTTCAATATGTACAAGTTTTAAATTATGACATTTGGGAAGTTAGAAGTGATGCAGCCAAGATTCTTTTCTGCAATTGATTAATGCAATCATCAAAATGAATGAAATCTTAAGATATTCTAATCTCATTTTCTAAAGTTACATTCAAATGCTGTATCAACCTGTGTTAAAGGAGAGAAAACAAACATTTTCACTGGGCAGTGTTTCAGGCTCTGGCACTGTCTGCTGACTGAGCTCTACAAAGCTGAAAAATCCTTTCTTACAAAGTATGTCCAAGTGGCAAACTAGTTTGGGATTTCTAGGAGCCATAATTGAATTGTGGAATGGAATTATAGTTATTAGCTACAGTGATCTTTGGTCACTTGATATTCTCTGTTAATGTTATCCCTACAACATCCTTTTGTTCCTGTTTATTTCTCAGAGAATTGCTCAGGGCCGTTTTCTGGTGCCCCTGCCCTGTTACTCTGCTGTTTGTAGGGGAGTCAGGAGCCAGCAGGGGCCGCAGTTGGTCTCCTTCAGCTGCTCAGTTATTTCCCAGTGTAGGTAAGAGCTATAAAATAGAAAGAAAATCTGGAGGCTTTCAATTCTCAATACTTAGCAATTTGTAAATGAAATGAAAACACAGGATCAACAGAAGTGTGCACACTATCATTAGTTTCCCAGTTCAGAGAAGGCTTTGGTGAAAGGAAGGGTGGGAAGCATGTCAAACCCATCTATAAAACCAGTAGAACACTGAGTAAATAATCATAATTATAATTAAAATTCAGCTGACTATACATTTATAGAATTAGTGATTACCTTTATAATAGATGATCCTGGGTATGTTGAATAAAAATGCTTTTTTCAAGTTTGCTGTTATTGGTCGTAGATTCTCTACAGGAGGAATTCAGTGCTATGACAAAGTCAGACACTGAAGCTCTTTCTCTCTGTTGCAATTAGCAGAAGAATTATTAAATGCTGAGGCTTATAGCTTGGTTGCATAGCAACTGATTCTAACACATCAGGCAAGAAAAATGGAATGCAGTAGTGCAGTGAGAAAAGCTGTAAGGTCTCCAGTGGCTGGATCTCTGTGTTTCTTACTTTTGGAGACAAAACCTGAAATGGATTTCAAAAAAATTATATTATTTTTCTGCTTTTGTTCTAACCTATTAGGAGATACTAAACTTTTCTTACTTTTTTTGATACGCAACTAGTAAGTTAGGAGAAGCTGTAGTTTCAAATTTCTGCCATTTAAAATTATTTTCCTGAATATGTCCTGTGCATTTGTATGGTATAGGTTAACCTAGCCACAGATACATCTCAAAAATACTAATACCACTTAAGAGAAATCCACAGAGCTTTGCTGTTTATGTCAGGCATAATTTGAGAACTGGCCCAGCTGTGCAGATTGTTTTGTCATAACCAAGTTTATAAAGAGTTAAGCTGGTCAGAAATTTTCTATTTATGCATCTACTCTGCTATATAATTTCAGTTTTTAAAAAAGTTGTCTTTCTCCGATTGTACTTGAATCACAAACAACACTGTTTCAGGAGTTGCTATGGGAGGATTGTATTTTCAGCCTTGTTTTTCACCAGAACAATCTCTTCTACCAGCACAAGTCTCTCCATTTTGCTTTTCAGTAGAAAAAAGAATAAGTTGCAAAACTTTCTTTTTAGAAGGACACTACTTCTCCTCTTCTTGATAAGGTTCTTTTATTATAGTACTATTTTTAGGAAGTAATTGGTAATTTAGTCTTTTCACTATCATTTTCTTCAGTTTTTAAAATTGAGCTTCACCACAAAGGTTAGGAAAGGTTGTAACATTGTACATCATTCCATACTTTTTCATATATTCTTGAGAAATCCCTGAGCTTTTTGTGATCACTGAAGAGCTTTACTGAGTAATCAAACCTCCATGTTATATTTTTATCCTGGTTGTGTAAGTGAATAAGGTGGTTTTGTACTTTGTGTCCTCTGAGTAGCTGCTGACCTGTTCTGTGGCCCAGTTGCCCCAGGTCACTGGCAGGTACTAAATTCCTGCTTTTCTTTGGAAGCACAGCTGTGAAGGGAGGGTGCTGGTATTTTATCAGGGGAGGAAAGCTGCAGTTTACTTCACAGGCTTGGTTTTCTCCAGGACTCTTCTATGCAGTAGAAGGGCAACACAATTTGTTTCCTACTAAAATTTGCCCTGTGAATAGTGACATGACAGGATAATATTTACAAGGTTTTTGAGCACTAAATTAAGCCTTAAAACACAGTGTTCATGTAGGCAGCTTAGGGAGCATCAAGCTCCTTAAGTCTTTAAAGGTCACACTTCTGATTTAAGATGTAACTAGTCTGCTGGAAGTCTTATTTGTCTCTGAAAATATCTGTGTAAATTTTCACTCATGAAATTAAAAAAAATAAAAATTCCTGTAAACTGTTCCCAGCCCACCCTGATACTCTATCTGCAGGATTGCAGAGGAGGCTGCATGACCTTGTGTACTCTGAGGGATGATTTCACTTACAGCTCATTCTTCACAACAGGTGATTGCAAATCATACTGCTCCAGTCTTTGGCTAAATAGCACAAGAGTTGTGAAACTTATGAATTTTCTGGAGGTTGCTGGAAACTGGCAGTTGTTTGTCAAAGGATTATATATTTTGTGCTCTGTGACCCTATGAAAGCTTTCTAGAAGCTAGATTTTTGCATGAGGTATGGAATGGAATTAAAAATGGTTTAGAGCAAATACTCACTTCATAAGTAATTAGGCACCACAGATTAATTTCAGCAATGAAAGAATATTGCTAGTGTTCAAAAAAGTGAGGTTTAATATGAAAAAATTATTTAGTACATTCCTTGATTTTTTAATATTATATTTTCTTTTTTTGCTGATAAAGAAGGGTTTGGAATTCTTTGTTTGTACATGGGTATTCTTTTTTTAAGAAGTCATTGCAAAACTACTTCTTAGGAAAAACTTCACTAGTTATCATCTCTGTCTTTATGGAACTCAGGTTATCACTTCACTTTTAGATATATTGTTGTTGAATGCTGATCCTTAATAACAGTTGTGTATTGCCTTTCATTAATGTTACTTTACAGAACATAAATGTTATCAAGCACAAAACAGCTCAGAAGTAGGACATAAAGTCTAATATCAAACACTTTTGTGAAGTAGGAATACTTGACCATCCTCCCACTGTTTTATTAAAAAAAAGAAAAGAAAAAAGGGGAGGGGAGAAAGATTGAGGTTGCACAGTTCAGAAGTCAGAAAATGCCAAATTTATGGTTGCTGCTACAACCCTGACATTTTTTAAAATTTATTCCCTTTTCTAACCCACACAATGTATGAGACATAAGACTGCTGGAAAAATTAGGTTATGATCATACACTCATCTTGGAGGCAAGTGAAGCAGACAGACAAAAGCTCATGAACTGGGGATGTTCTGGCAGGTTTGAAGGGAACCTGCTGCAGTGTGTGATCCTGGATTTCCTTTGCATCCAGCTGACTGCTCTGACATGCTGCTGAAATTTTTCAGGAAGCGCAAGTGAAAGTAAGAAATTAAAATTTTTGAAAGTCTTAAATATTATATCTGAATTAAGTAGGATGGTTTCCTTTTAGTTCTCCTCTGTTCCTTGCTTCAAAAGATCATGACATTAAGGTTTCTGATTTTTTTCTTGGTAATTTTTTGCTCATTTAATTACACTAATAATATTTTACTTTTTTGTGTTTGCTATGGATAGAGAGGCTAAAGAAGTGTTGATTATAAACTGTATAGTTATTTTGTTTGTTTTGAGTAATTTATAGAAAATATGGCTTCTTAATACTCATCAATTCAAGAAGGAACAGCAGAGCTATAGCCATGGAGCAATCTTGCTGGGCTGGAATTCTGGTCTCTTATCCCTCACTGGTGGTTTGTGTTGATGCTTTTATCCACACCTACACTGGTACCTGTAATTGAGATAAATTAGCAAGAAATACTGAGGATGAAATGTGTTTGCATTCTTGGTCCTGAATTAAGCATCGATTTTTGCCCTATGTGTGATAATGAAATTTGGAATTTCTGCTTTGCTGTGTCTCTGTAGTATTATCAATTCCATGACTCTCAGAAAAAAAAGAGGCAAATGGAAATAAATAAGCAATTTAAAGTCTTCTATTTCAAGAGGCTTTTTTTCCTTCCTCTTCTGTGCAAACCATGGTCTTTAGCAGGATCTTGCTTTTGTGCTCTGCTTGTGTGTGTGTGGGAGAGGGGAGTGAGAAAAGATGGAATTTCAGGTCTCAACTCATGCAGAAGATTCTGGATGGAATAAGGAAAAGAAGATTAAGTTATTATGCAAGTTAAGGTTACAGTTTGAATAGGCTGGCAAATTGAAATAATGAAGCCAATTTATAATAGTTTAGCTGTATAAATGTTAATAAATCAGTACACATCAAAAGACTGAGTACACAGAGAGGCAATTGCTGCAGAGAGGGTGCCCTGTGCAAGTGCAGAGCCGTGTCTGAGCAGCAACAGCTTTAATTTATTCAGAGTTAGAGACATAACAACAACTACTTGTTGATCATGCACCATCATATTTTAATGGCACACTTCAAATATTTAAAATGCCATCAGCTTGATGTGTCCTTGAGGATTCTGAATTCAACATTATGGTTCAAGATTGTTGTTTTGTTATGGAGTGATACTGTACAGAAAGCTTGCTGTGGATCCTTTTGCTTCTGTTGTTTACTTGTATGATGCTCTAACACTGGATTATTGCATTTTCCTCATCCCTAGAGCAATTGTTTGTTTATTTCACAGGTAGGCTGATGGATTGTGGTCCCTTGTGCTATTTAATACCCAGAAATTCCACTGTTTCACTTTCGGTTTTTCTACAAGATTTGGATTTTTTTTTTTTTTAGGGTTGCATAAAATATGCTAAGTTACTGTAGAAAAATAATTATCCTTTTTATGCTGAATTAATGAAGTACAAACTCCCTCTAATGACCTACTGAAATGTGTCTTGCTAATGTCATTTAGCTCTTAAAGTGTAATATGGGTATTATGGAGTGGGCAGAAAACTGATCATCTACTTTCTCCCTGGCCACAATTTCAGGAATGTTTTGGAAGAAAATCTAGCATGAAGAAATTTTGGTTGGCTGATTTCAAATGACACAAGAACTCTGCTGAACTCTGCAGTCCTGCAAGGGTGGGATTGATCTGCAGATTACCAAGGCCAGACTGGAATCAGAATGTCTGCAGCACTGACTGTCAACATTTGGTTGATATAATAAAATCTTTTGCATTTTATCCACTACTAGAGTTTGTCAGACTCCATCTGGCCATAGGAAAATGCTATTTTTTTTTAAATGGGCAAAAACTTCTGTAACTATAGAAATATTAAGAAAGATACAGGTGAAGGATACTGTGTACTGAATGTAAAGGGGAAAAAAGTTGTCCAGTGGCTTTGCTTGCTTGAAGAATTCAAGTAATACCAGTTCTGTTAGTATGTTTTCAGTAAAAGCACACTGAAATTTACTGGCATCTGCATTGAATACTTGCAGAACAGAATTGGCTGATTTATTTTATATAAACATTTCACTTAAGTGTTGGGAGGGATGGTTTAATATAATTGTGTCCTTGTAGCACTTATAAAATTATTGATTAACATATGTGAAATTGTTAATGAAATTGTTGGAGCTGACACTTTTCAGAATGGTATTTGGCTGTTCTGGTATCATGTTAAACCTAACCCAAAGGAAATCTTTAAAAATTCTAAAATTCTGTTTGTTGTTGAAAAAAATATTCTTGATTTAATGACAGAAAGTATTTTTATGGTATTTGTAAAAAGATAGAAAGGATTTAATAGGAAATGATGAGGTTCAGAAGTCTCATCATCTTTAGGGCTGAACTTGAGGAAGCAATGCCATTATCTCTGCTCCCATCTCCCTGGAGCAGTTATTTCCTGTGGCAGGATTTACAGGCAGGAGAAGCAGCAATTTGGAGAAGCTGAGCAAGTAGCAGTGTATCTCATTAATAGGCATGTGCTGAAAAGGTGCTTCTGCCCTACATCTGTGAAAACAAAACAGCTGCAGCCACAGGCACACTTGTAAACATTTGTATTAAAGCCAGATGCAGACTAATTTGATTTGATCAATACTTCTGATGTGGTGTTAAATAACTCTGCTTTTGGAAGATTGCTCAAATTAGTGATGAGATTAAGAACATTTTTATGTGCTTTCCTGAATAGCAAATGGTGTTGGCATCATCTTAAGTGTGCTGCCTGTGTACATGACTTCTAGATCTGAAATGAGCAAAAATGGACACAGACATTAATCCTTTTTGTTCCTTTTTTAGATGAACTTCGTCAAGCTATCGTGGCCATGATGAATAGAAAGGATGAGCTGGAAGAACAGAATAGGTAGTTTGTGGTTTTTAGTCAAGAGGGACTGTAATTAAAAAAACCAAACTGTTCTCTAATACAAGCTGTTCTTTCTGTAAAGCTATGCATAATATTTCTGTCACCTTTTTGATGTATATATGATTTTTTCCTTGAAAGGTTAACTTAATAATTCACTTTTTAAATGTTGATACTGAAGAATAGTGTTTTGAAGGTAACTTTTTGCTTTTAGTTTGAATCAGGTAACTCTTTGTACCTTGGGAGCTTTGCAGTTTTAATTTTTTCAAAACCAAACCTTGTAGCCAGGAGATTCTGAAGCTCTGTTAAGATAGCTTTCCAAATAAGCAAAAGTTTCTCCTAATGCAAATATTCAGAAAATTTCTGGTTTTTCCCTTCTGGTGAAGAAGTGATGTAGGATGGCTCACAATGTAATGCTGAAAGTGACTTTCATTTCTGACTGTCTTTGTGTTCACTTGGGGCACAATGATGATGTAAATGTAGAAATGATCAGTTGCTTATATAAAATGCCATCAAACCTACTTTGTATTTATTTAGTTTATTGAAACACATAGTTAGATGAATGAAAATACAAATGCATTCAATGCTTTAGTAAGGGTATTTTGGGTTTTATAATGCTGAGCTTACCAACAGATCCCATTTTCCTTCCTCCTATTCTTCCCACTCCCATAATTGCAAGTTATTGCCTCATTCAGCTTTGTGGGCTTTTTTTGGCAGAAGGACCAGGGTGCTTTGGGTTTTACCATTATGCATCATGCTGACCTTTGCTATCTCATCAAGGGTTTTTACACAGAGGTCTGTGGCAGTGACAAGAGGCCTGCCTGGCTTGCTATAAATATGTTGGTTATAGATTATTCCCAAGATGTATGGACTTGCCCTGAAGTACTGAAAACAGCTTACCAGCTTTTTAAAAGACCAGATTTTTTCTGCATACTGATACAGTAGATCCCACAATAAGTTGTGCTTTGGGCTTGTTGACAGGATAGTAATACAAATTAATAATAAACATTTGCAACCTTTTTTTCCTTTTAGCTTTTAATATCTCTGTATAATCAAATCAGGTGAATTTATTAAATTGACTCATGAAATTTTTGGATGACATCAGTGGTGTCACTCCTCTGTGATTCTTGGAGTATACTCTAATTAGCAGGTAGTGTGTGCAGTGTCCTAAAGAGAGGCTGCTGCCCTCTTGCAGATCCCTGAGGAACCTGCTGGATGCAGAGATGGAGCATTCTGCAGCTCTGAGGCAGGAGGTGGAGAACTGCAGGAGGAAGGTGGCAGAGCAGGAGGAGCGACATGCCACCAAGGTGCAGGCCTTGGCACGGTAAGAACTGCTGCAAATGTCTTGGGAAATACCTGCAGGGGAACAAGGGAATAACAGTCTGCATAGAAGGGAAATAGTATTCAGGTAGCTAAGTTTGCAGGAGAACAGAAGTGATTTAGGACTAAAAGTCCCATGGTAAGCAATAGCTTCTGCTAAACATTATAAACAAGTACCAAGTTCTGAAGTGGTGCAGCTGTTTTTCCCACAGCTCCAGGAAGGTCAGCTGGAAACAGGTTTCTCAGGACCATTTCCAGTCAGGCTTTGAATATCTGCACAGATGAGACTCCTGAGCCCCTTTGGGCAGCACTGTTGGCAGTGACTTGTTGGCAGTGCTGTTCCTGTGGGGCCCAGGCTGCTCTTGGCTGGCTTTGCCATGGAGGGGGTATTGCAGGCTGGTGCTCAGCTCCTGTCCCCCAGGGCTCCCAGACCCTCCTCCACAGAGCTGTTTGCCAGCCCTCCAGCATTGCCTGGCTGTCCTGAGCTATTTCTCCCCAGATGCAGGACTGCATTTACTCTTGTAGAATTTCACAGACATTTTCTGAGTCCAGTTCTCCAGCCTGTCCCTGTCCCCCTGGGTGGCAGCACAGCCACACAGTGTCTCTGCTCCTCAGTTTTGTGTTTGTGAACCTTGCTGTGTGGGTGTGCACCTGGGTGTGCTCTGGCCCAGGTGATGTTAAGGTGTTAAACAGCATTGGCCCCAGTATTGAGTTGCCTCCAGCTTGACTTTGTGCTACAGTGAAATAAAGAATTTTAACCCTCTCCTTGTCTAAATAGGATTCAGCTTCAGAAAGACTTTTGAAGGTAAATGCTGCTGTAATAGTGTGATTTGCTTCTTACAATTCAAAATAAACTCTAGAGTAACCATGATGTGTAAGATCTTGGGGGTGATTCATGTGTATAGTAAACAACAAACAATCCAAGAGTTAAATAATTTGCCTTACCCAGAGAGAGGTGTTTGTTTGCTGCATGCACGAGCAGAGTGTGTTTAGTGTCAATCACAAAGTACCACAGCTGAGATTCCTTTAAGCTTTTTACTGCCTATTTGAAAATGATAAATATAAAGCTTTCTTAAAAATAAAGGTATTTAGGACACTACTAATTCTGCTTTTGATGACACATCAAACCAAACGACTTGCTTTGAGGGAGGGAGAGATATGAATAAGTGGGTTTGACATGCATGTGCTGTAAGGCAGTAGAGACAATGCAAATACTTCATCATTTAATATTCATATTTCAGGTTATAGGAGTTGTATATTCATATTTCTTTGACTCACTTCCCCCACAATTTTAGAATTTGCAGTGACATATGGGTGAATCAGATATTTGTCATGCACATACCTCTTTAAAGAATAGATAAGGAGCTTTTATAACCAGACCTGAAGAGATGCTCACTTAGACTAATGAGGTATTTTTAAATAAGTCTGTGTAATTCCTCTTATTGCTATATGGATGTGTTGTGTTGATTGCTCTTCTGAAAGTCAGTTTGCCTTGTCATGTGATAAAAACAGTGTTGGGAGCTGCTGAGGCATGATAAATTCATGTGTCACCAGTTACTTTGGATTTGGGAGGCATTTCTTTAATGATTCATAGCAACTCATTTTCTAACATCCTAACACAAGAAACTTTGCATGTAGTTTCTTTGGAATATAAGCTTTTCTTCTAAATTTTAGTTGGTTCACTTTGTATGCTGTAGGTGATGCTGCTGCAGTAATAAGAGTAGTAAATTTTTAAAATAAATAGTACTTTAAACCAAGAAGTTGAGCAAGCTGAATAATCTAAAGAACTGAAGTAACAGAAAGTTTGGAATTGCTTTTTGAGTGCTGCATAATATGTTAGGTGAGTAATAGGAAACCAAGTTTTAGATATTTTGAAGTAGTGAAATCTCACTATTTCCCTTGAAAACAATTGATCACATGACCAGAGTAGAAAATTTTCTTCTGTTGTGATGTTCTGAATATTTTAAGGCAAGGGAAATCATTCAGTAACAATCTGACTGTTGTGATTTGATGAATGACTATTTTTCAGATTATGAGAGCTGATATTTATGTGTGTCCCCAAAGCTCTTTTGAAGAATTTGACATAAATAGCTTCCTGAAGGCTTTGAGAACACAAATTTCAGTGACACATCAGTCAGTGCTGAAATGATGGCTTCTGGAAATCTGCAGTGATTCAGCTGTTCTCCTGGACCCTCCCAAGAGCCCCTGGCCTCCCAGACAAAATGCTAGTTTACTGAGAGACATTTTCCCAAGTTTCCCACTTTCTCTTTGAGAAATGGAAGAAGTCTTAGGTGAGCTTAGTTTCAAGTAGAGGTAATCTCATTGTTCCATGTGAAATACTTGAATAACTCTTCATAGCAGTTGCTATATTGTTCCAAAAGGAGCAGGCTCAGGTTCAATCTGTTTGCTGGTCTTCTGCTAGAATACACTCAGTAGTCTCTCTAGTATGAGCTTTTTTGCTTTTTGGGGTCTCCCCCCCTTTTTTTTGTTTGTTTGGTTTTGATTTTTTTTGTTCTTGTCAATGAACCTTTCTCAAATTGCATGGACATATTGTGCCAGTGGCTTCTTGGCAATACTAAAGGTTTTAAATTGAGATTCTTCTTTTCTGTGTGGAATACTATTACATCCCTTTGCAAGGCAAAGGAATTTATTGAAGTTGACTGTGAAATTGGATAATCTCAGATTGCATATTCTTAGACTATATTCAGCAATGTTGGAGGAAAGCATATTACAAAGGACAGGCTTTGTAGCAAGAAAAGCAGATAGAGAAGATGAAAATGCACTGTGTGGGGAAATGGGGGCTGAGAATTTGTCTCTACTTCATCTTACACTTCTCCATACCTCCTGTTTGCTGTAGGTTCTTTAACCTGATATGCCTCCTCTACCTACTGTCTGTGTTACTTAAACCACATTGCTTTTGGATTTGGCATTTTCTGTTATTCTGTTTTGCAGCACTTCTTTCACAGCCATAGCCCTTCAGTGATGGGTGAACTCATGTGTGGTGCATCTTGAAATGGTTCCATCACTTCCCTTTAGCAGCTCTTAGAGAGAGGAAAAATATCTCTTGTTCCTGCTTGTGAAAACTAATTTGAATATTCCTATATTAAATGACTTTTTCTTCCTGCTTAGCTAGTTGGTGACATGTCACAAGTCATCAGTGGCTCCTGGACATGGAAAAACCCACTGGAAGTCAGCCCATAGTGAGGGACAAAGGAGCTTCCCAGAGGGAGCAGGAGGAAGAATGTTTGGCAGCAGGGCATCAGTGGGGGCAGGAGGAGGAGAAGCAGCTGTAGCATGAGGAGGAGGAAGGAGAAGAACTGAGCAAGGTGAAAAGCACCCAGCCTCCATCTCTGAGGGAGCCCCCAGCCAGGGCAGCTTTCAGTGATGGCCCATGAGCAGCCCAGGCCAGCACAAGCAGTTAAGTTTAGCACATCATTCCTCATTAAAGTTTTTCCTGGAGATTGGTTTTATTATATAATCTCATTATATTGTATATAGTTCATCTTCTATTTCCATCAGCAACAGTTCTCATTTTCCTTCTTTAATTGTGTTTGATGACAACTGACTGTGATCTTGCATCTCCTCATAGTAGAACCATTCAGGTTAGAAGGCATCTCTGGAAGTCCTCTGGCAGCCTCTGCTTCAGACTCTACATAATGTTGCAGGACATTGTTTATTTAAATTCATTCTTAATTCCTGCAGGTTCTTTTATTGTTTGGATATTTAGCACCTTTATAGTATTTCCTAAAAACCATAACTTTTTTTAGCAAAACATAGACATCTGTTGGATTCTTGTAGTTTGTTTGGTTTACCTCGTTTTTCCCAGTGCTGAATTTAGGAATGAGACACCTTTCTGGAGTAAGCTTCACAGAAAGCACTTGCTAGAGTCTGATATTTGTGCCAAAAATTAGTTACATTCAGGCCACTATACTGAGATACAAGAGAAATTACTCTTTTTCAAATTCTTTTCTTACCATGCTCATTTTACAGAAGCCCTAGAGATTTTTTTATATCGTTTCCAAGATGTGTGGTGGAGTTTTGTTTGGGTTTGTTTCTTTCTTTTTTTCTATTAAGGTATAAGAAAATAAATCCTGTAAGGCTTCTTTGTCTGCAACAAAAACTGTATACTCTGTGTTCATTCACTGGATGCAAAACAGGCAAGTCTGTGCTTCCTAAACACAAGCTTGTTTTTTGCTGCTAAAAAAATTTACCATTCTGGCTGAAGTTTTGATTTTCTTTCAGACAGGGTTTCCTCAAATGCTAATTTTAAAATAATAAAATAGAGAGGAATTATTTTTCATTCAAAATTAGGCAGGGAATTGAAGGTATTTGACAACTAACACTCATTATATAATTGATCATTATATAATTGATCATTCCTATATATGTGCTATGAAGCCTAAACAATAACACTCACTAGAGCTTTGCTATTTGAGCAAATGAGTAATTTGTAGGAATACTCAATGTCATCTTCTATCATTGTCATTTTCCCCTATATCAGCACATAATACCATCTGTCTTTCAGCTTATGAAATGGAAGAAGTGATCAGGCAGGGAGGTTTGGTACAACTGAACTTTTGGAGAAAGGGAAGATGGGTACAATTGAGGTTTTGGAGAGGGATGTGCTTTTAGTGATGCAGTTCTGCCCTGGTTTTGTTGGCTATTTCAGCCTTATTTTTAATTTTTTTTTTTTCTCTCTATCCCTTTCAACTTGTACTTACAGTCCTGCTGCTCATTCTTCAGCACTAAATGTGGAACTGTTTGGAGCACTTTAAAGATACTGAAAATATTTTGTTGAGCTCTGGGCTCACAACAGGTGAACAGTTCTGCTTCAGGTTGGGTGTTGCAGTTTGGATACATTGCAGTGCAGCAGGGCCTGCATAAAGAAGTATTTAATATTTAACATCCTTCAGTCTGCAGATCTGACCTTAACTCCTGGACAGGAATTTGTCTTCTTGTGAAATGCTTGTTAGGAATATATCTGATAAAATACCTCTTGAAGTCATTAAAGACTTTTCAACATGTGCTTACTAAATGTTTTTTAAATATGCTCTGTTTAAAAGAATATAAATTCCTATGCATCAGGATGGGCCCTCTTTGGAATCAGCTAAATCATAATAATGAGTCAGAGATGGCAAAGAATAAGTAATAACCTGATAGAGGCATATTAGAAAATTGTGACTGGGCCATAGTATCCTGCTTTAAATTTCAGTCTTGTATCAAAAACCTTGAAGGAATTAAAGTATTTTTCAACTTCATCTGTACTGTATCAACTTTAAGTCAATTTTAGAAGGCACTGAGTCTATTCTCTTATATAGAATTGAGGTGATAGAGAGTTATTTCATGAGACTCCTTAATATATTGTAACTGTACACAGTTATTTTAATGCAGACATTCTTACAATTCTCGTGAGAAACCTTTTTGTTTAGTTGTCATAGAAATTTTTTTTGTGAATCAGTTATTTAAGTTTGTTTTAATACTGTATATCGGATTAAACTGTTTTTTTATGCTTTTTACCCTTACTCTGAATATCAGTGTCTGTCTCTGGTGGAGAAAATTATTTGTTCTTTGCAGTCTCAGAAATGAAAAATATCATCAAATGCATAAAATCATCAAGGACTCTTAAAATTCGATTGCCAAGCAATCAATAGCTTCTCAATTATTTAGCAACCTCCTACTAAAATGCTGAATAAAATTGAGGTTACAAAGTTCAGCAAGCTGACTGAAGTCCATAGGAATGGGAATATTGTACCAGTCAAGGCTCCTTACAGGAGCAGTGTAGCATTGCTCACAGCAGCAGTTTGAGTGTGTATATATATAAAATATGTGTATTTTATGTGTGTGTGTATATCTAGGATGATAAGGACCATCAAACATACTTGTGTGTTTTTTTGAATATTTCTAAATCTTAAATAAATTTCCATGAATAAAATGCCTTTTCTTTGGTATGTCATCTATTTGCAGCTTTCTGTGCTGTGTTCCATGTCCAGGTTTTGTTGTTGAGCACAATTTGGCCTTGCCAGCCCAAATTCCCTCCTCTCTCTAACACTTGTGGGGTTCTTGTGTGTTGTGCTGCATTTGTGGCACCTACATACTTCTACCTCAGGATTATCTTAAAGAAAAATAAAAGTAGTTTGAATTCACAGTCTAGCAACACATTTTAGTTATGCTTCTTTGGTATATAAACTTTTCTGTTGCACTCACTTAACTGAATGGGCTTAGACAGATAATTGAATTTTCAGACATGTGATTTGTCAGCTTTGTTTAAAATCAATCGGTTGGAGCCCTTTTTATTTCCCCCCAAATATGAACTAAGGTGCTTAATGTTGTTAAGTGGAGCCTCGGTGGTACCTGCTTTGAATGAGAGAAATGAGACAGGCACAGGCACTGAAATGTGACAGCTGAAGGGATTACCTCAGTTTCATGTCTTATGCTTTTCATTTAGCAATGGTTTGTGGAAACTTCTGCCTTGAATATGGTTGCTGGAGTGCTGCCATTTCTTACAATGATAAAGCCTGTTTCTAAAGCTGAATTATTATTTGCTTGCAATTAGATGCATATTAGCAAAATAATGATTTCATTTTACATTGGCCATTCTGAATTTCCTTGTGTAGCATCCCATCCTTATGTTTTAGTTGATTGTTGATTTAGATAGACTCTGTAGTTTGTTTGCCATCAGTGTAGCATAGTACACAAAATCTAAATTAAACAATTAATGGAAAAGCTTTGATTATGAGATAATCTGTTTCACTGAGGTGTTTATGAGGTCCTGGAAAACTAATTTTCCTGCTGTTCTGCTATTGATGCATTATTTAATTGTTTCCTTGCATCATGGTGACACATCTTAGGTAAAGCTTATTATAACAGAGAGTCTGCTTGTTTCCACTGAAAAGGACTTTTCATCTATTTTGGGGGAAAAATATTTATTTACTGTTTTTCTTTATCTACAGAGAAAATGAGGTGCTAAAAGTGCAGCTTAAGAAGTATGTGGGAGCTGTCCAGATGCTCAGAAGAGAAGGTCAAACAGTGGAAGGTAAGGATAAAATGAAGGGGGGAAAGAATCCATGCACAGGATTTGTTTTTCTGTGTGCTGCCATTCAGGGAGTAATACCTTCCAATAGTGAAAATAACATATTTGATTTGTTTTCCTTTTGAGAAAAATACAGATGTAGATTTTTGTACTCATTTTTACAGAGCGTTTTCTGGTGGATGAGGTGGTCTTACTTTTTTTCTATAAGAAATTTTCTAGAAAAAGCTGATTTAGCTTAAATAAAAATCTGTGTGATATTAGAATATAAAAATTAAAGTGTTATCTCTAGATTATACTGTTGTTTTGGAAATCAGTATTTGCAGAGTGTTTGAAATAGACACTGTGCTGAGTAGTAATGGGCAGATTTTATAACTGAAAGAGCATGAGTGAAGTTATCAGCAGTTTTACCTGTTGGTTTTCTGTGATCTGTGATAGAAGCATCCATGAGGGGCTGAATTGATGTCTTGATTCTGAATCTTCTGGTGGGACCTGGATTTCCACTGGCTGCAGAAGCTGTTCAGAGAGCTGAGATGGGTTTTCAGAAATTGGCACCATCTAATTTTTAAAAATTGTGAATATTTTGGTCATATAAGTGGCTTTATGAATGAATACTACTGTTCTTCAGGGTTAGCCACTGTACTTATCTGGAGTTTCAGAGCTTCATTCATCCCTGAAAGGATATTTGTTAGTGAGAACACATGTTTTTACTTCCGACTTTGCTGGAGTGTAGTGATTCATATTAAGAATTATTCACGAAAACCATGGCTGAGGCTTCCTATAATAGCAGAAATTATCCTTCATTAGGTAGTGACAGTTTCCATGATGAGTGTAATTATAGGAAAAGAAAAAAAATATTCCTAGGCTAGCTATATTCCACCATGTTAAAATTATGCAGATTAGTGAGTGATAAGAATAGAAACTGAGTAGGATGGTCAGATTTTATGGATAAAAAAGGGGGATGGAACAGTACCAACATTTCTAAAAACGAACACGTGTGCTTTATGCTGGAAAGATACTTAATCAATCCACAGTAATTATCTATAATATTTATCACTAGTGACCAGAATATATTTCATACAATATTTGTAATAAATTTTTCTTACAGTGTAACTTTACATGTTGAATTTTTGTAAAACTATTTTTTTTTTCCTTAGCTGCCATTGAAAATTTAGGTGAAATTTTAGTGGTACTGTTGTCTCTGACTCAAAGTACATAAGCATGTAAATATTCCCTGAGAACTAGCTGCAAAAATGAAGAGAAACAAAAGGGAGTTTTTTTTTTACCAGATTTATAAAACAATTGCACCCATGGTTTGTTTATGCAATGAGTAATTTTAATTATAATTAATCTTCTGAATGGTATGAAAAAAGTCTTAAATGTGTTGTAGATTTTAGAATACAGATTTTCTGTGACTCGGTTTTGAAAGAGTCAATAAATTGGTCTTCTGCTGTTATTTTTATCACTATAAATAATGAAGACTCTATATGTTTTCTACAATAATCAGATCAAATGCTATTGAATATGGCTTTTAAATAGTTTCCTAAAATAATAAATGAAACTCAGCTTGATATTTTGCCTTCTGAAGACTTAAAAAGGCCAAAAACCTCACTCAGCAAATGTGATAATAAATAAATTACCCAAAAGTCAGAACTATCAGCTTTCAAAATGAGTGATCACTGCTGTAGCCTGAGCAGTTGGATATTGGTATTTAAATATTTAATAAATGAGCATCTTCATTTCTCAGTCATCAGCAGGAGTTGGCTCTGTACCATTTTTTAAACCTGCTTAGATAGAATATTTATATAAAAAATGCTGATCTTAGAAGTCTGGCTGAAGAATTTGAAGCAACATTTACAAGAAAAAGATCTTAAAATAACTTTCAAATTCACTTAAATAATAAAAACTTCTAAATTCTTCCTCAAAACAAAAATCAGTTCCCAGGCTCAAAAATATTTAGCCAGATAAATTATGGTCTCTTCTATCTACCTAATAGTGGTTGTATATATAGTTCAGATTTTGAAGAATGTTGAAAGCATTTGTTCAACTCCTCTTCTATTAGGGCTTTATTTTTATGTGTAAACTTGTTTTCTTAGAAATTCATGAGCAATGAGGAAAAGTGGAATTGGATTCTGTGTAACTTGGAGGAGATTTACTTAGAATAGGCCTTAATGTGATCTTCAAATACTGAAATGATAGCTGGGAACAGGAATAGAATAATCTGTAATTTTCATTCACTACAGATAAAAGAAGTAATGGGCTGCCATGGCAGGTGAAGGAAGTTTGATTAGCTATCAGGAAAACCTTTGTGAGAAGAACACTTACATTTAAATAGGTTATACAGGGAAGCTGATACCTCCCTTCTTGGAAGGTTTTAGGAAGAAATTAGACAATTACTATCAGGAATGGAGTAACTCCAGCTGATTCTGCTTGCTGCAAAATCATGAACTACTGGGTGAAGTATGGAATGTTCATTCTCAGCCCTGTTTGCTGTAATTTCTCTGATATGTAAGCAGTCTGTACAAGTAATATAAACTGATGTTTTGAAAGCCCAGTAAAAAAAAAGGCTTAAAGGAGAAACAGAAGTTTTAGAAGGCTTGGGGCAGGAACTGCAGGTGTTACATGTATTAGACAGCTGTATCACACAACAGCCAAATGCTTTTGGTTTACATTCTTCTCTGTTAAAATCTCAGTCTAAATATTTCTTACCAAAAAAGGTCCCTGCAGAATCTGTATTTTAGTACTTGTAATAGTGCTTAATATTATGGTCTGTTCTCATGTTTTTAATGACTGTTTCTTGTGGAGATGTTATTTCTAAACAGGTTATCCTGGACGTTTATGGAATTTTACTTTTTAATCTGAGGTATCTCTTTGTTATAGTTCTGCCAAACATTTGGAGCACTGATGGTGAATTTACAATTCCAGAGCAAAAGCAAGCAGAAAACAATGAGGAACTGGCCAGCTCTTATGAAAGGAAATTGATTGAGGTAAAGTTTGTACTGCACAGATTTTATGGAATCCTAATCATAGAACAAGGTCTGAAGCTTAAATAGGTTTTTTACTTAGTTGATATCTTTTTGCCTCAGGAATGTAAAATATAAATCTGATTTTTTTCTTCAGAAATAAAAAACCTCAGATAATTAAAAGTACTTTTCCTAACAAGGATACACTTTTATATGCTGATATTAAAATGAAGGTTTTAATAAATAAGCAAGTTCCTTCAGGTCTTAACTGCTGGTGAAGTTGAAATCACCACAGACAATGCATTTGAGGTTTTGTGTAAGTGACAGTACATAATTACAGGCATGGCTGTGTTGGCAGTTGAGCTTTATTTAAGATCATTGTGAAATTTGTAGCTTTTTCTGGGCTGGTTTCTGATTGCAAACCATGTTTCATTTTTGTATTGCTTATTGAATACTGCAGTAAGGAAATGGCTGATAGAAGCTACTACTTCTGTTGATATGACCATGTTAGAAAAAGTTCCTAAGGCAAGATTTACTTTTAAGATTAATATAAAATTCATTAAAGAAAAAAAAATAGATTAGGGTTTCATCCTAAATTTGAATACAAATTATTTTAAAGAAAAAAATGTAATGAAATTTAGTATCTAATACCCATATCTGCTATTAAATATTAAAAGAACATTTTTATAAGAAGTAAAAGAATTCTGTATGTCTTTCCCAAAATACCCTGAAATTGGCTACCCATATTAACTGATTAACATGAAGATGACTAAAAATGCAGGTCATGGATCAAAGAGCTTCATACAGTTCTTCTAAACCATGCATACTTGGTTCTCCTTTTCTCATAGGACCATGTGCAACTGTAGGGGGATAGAATGTAAGAAACTAAAGCTAGTGTAGAAAGGAATCTCACCCCTAAGGAGCTGCAGCTGGGCCAATTAGCAAAGATCAGGAGCAGGCCTGACTTTACCAGGCCACAGCTGTAAGCAATGAGAAGCAGAGTGCTAGAAAAGAGTGGGGTGGCTGGGTGAGAAGGGAACTGGAGTCAGTGGCTGCTGTGGGAAGAGGAAAGAGTCAGTGCTGTGAGGAGCTGGCCATGAGAAACACCAAGAAGGTGTGGAACTGTTGTGGTAAGGAGACAGCAGTGTGGAACCCCTGCAGTAAGATGGCAACATGAAACTAATTCTCTCCCTAATGCTTACCTTTGCTTGAGTTCTTCTGGCTCCTTTCCTCTGTTCTGTACCTATCAAGAGAATATCTTAATTAAGAACCCAGGTGAAACCTCCCTGTGCTGTGGAAGCCTCCTCAGTTGTTCCACCTTTGTTCTGTGTGCTCAGGAGTTTGGTGCTGGCACTTGTGAGTTTGTGGCAGTGGTGACACTGCTCTGGGTGTAACCACAGAAAAGCTTTTTTACCAGTGATATTGGGAAGAGGGAGGCTGCATCTCTTTCGCTTACTCGTCTCCAGCAGGATCCTCACATACTGCAAACAGGACATGACCCCTGTGACAGCCCTTCTCCAAGGCTCTGAGCATGGCAAGCAGTGTCAGTCTCAGTGAGCGCTGGTGGGACTGGACACAACTGACCAGGACTGGGAATTATTGCAAACATGAGTAAGAATTTCATTGAATGTGCACAGTTCCCAGTTTATTTTGAGATGAAAGCTTGAGCTTATTTTCTGCTAATTGGTTTTGAAGCATATCTTTCCAAGATAGATTGTGTTGTTAGATGCTTAGTGAAACGTTCCTGGCCTGTTTGTAGTGAACTGCTTGGTCCTTTGCTGTGAAACATGAGGTGATACCTTTGTCCTTTCTCTGGAGGCTGCTCTGAACTGTGGCCATGCTGGGCAGTGTAACTGCAGTGCTCTCAGGCACTTGGGTTTTCTTTTGACAACTCTAAGGAGCTGAGTTAGTGTGGAGCCTCAAGTGTTTACTTTATCCTCACTTCACCTTCCTGAGAAGGGTTTGGGTTCTTTAAACTGTTTTCTCATATAGGAAGGAGCAAATCTAAATGATCCTCTGTCCAAGGAAAACTGAGCTTATTTATTCTTTATTTTTTTTTGCTTTGAGCATATTGTTATGAAGAAAAACAACTGTGAAGATGATTGAAGTCCCAGCAGGGAAATTTATTGCTTAAGCTTCAATGTGGATTGAGTAAAGGAAGATGTGACTCTATGAAAATGTAACTGAAAGGATATAATTATAAGGAGGCCTCTTTGTTGTTTTAGCAGACTTTGATGCAGGAAAAATTAAAGGAATTTAAATTAATATTGTTATTCATTGCTCCTTTTGATTTGCTGTGATGGTAATGCATTTTTCTTTGACAAGGGAAAGTATTGAAGTCAGTTAATTGCTAATAAGTGACACCTGCCAGTTGTCCTTTTGATAATATAGAACAAGTGATTTGGTGTTTTATTTGCTGTTAAATTTCCTTTTTATTATTTACCTTTGCTAGGGATGCTTACAGATTTTTGCATTACTTGTGGTGTTTTGAGAGAGTTGTTGAATTTCCATGTTAATTGAGTCTGTAAGTAGAAAGTTATTTCAAGGACATCCAAATCAGAGAGACAAAATAGTCACAAATCAGTCTGGATTTTGTTCTTCTGATAGACAGGCCCTGAAAAACCAAACATGTTTTCAAATATGCAGACTACTGAGATCCACTTGTAAATTTTTATGTTGCTTTTGATGACCAGCAGTATTGCAGCTTTTCTCTGTGAATTTGCAACTACAGTCATTGCTGTATCTCTGTACTTGAAATGCAAGGAAGTTCTGCCTTACAGCCCAGGCTCTGTGGAATTAACAGTGACCGTTAATATTAACCTGGTATTCTTAAATGTTACACCACCCACTTTAAATTGGAATTAGTGGTTAAGCTAGTATGGAAAATTATTTATGTAGAATTAATAATACTATATTATTGCTTTTTCTAGTATATTGTTCATGTAGTTTAGCTCTTTTTTGCATATATGTTTTAGTGATGAATTACTGGGTTTGAAGGAGTCCCTTTAATACAAAAAGAAATTGGAAAAGAATGCTTGAAGTTCACCTCATGAAAATTATTTTTGTTTTTTATTTATAATCAATGATGTGAGATTCTGGCTTGTCAAATTGAGGCTTTTTTTGTTTGCTTTGATTCTGTGAAGGATGCAGATTTGTATGGAACAAAGCACAAAATTAAAAGCAGACACTAAATTAAACTACTTTATTTTGGGGAAGTTCCCTGGGGAAGAGGGAGAAGGCAGAGTAATTCAGAAAAAGGAAATAGTGAAATTCACAGATAGTAACAAGCTGCTTCTAGGAGGGAAACTATGAACTCTTGAGAGATTTGGCAGTAGTTCAAGTCTGCGTGCTATTGTTGAGGTGACTGGATTGAAATTCATGTTGTTCAGCTGTGCTCTCATGCTGTTACCCTGCTGCCTTTGCTGTTCTCCAGCTCTGGTGGGGGATGAGGAGGAGGAGGAGGCATTCCAAGAGGTGCTGGAGCCAGGAGCGGGTTTGGCCATGGAACAGGAGCAGGTTTGGCCCCGGAGCAGGAGCAGGTTTAACCTTGCTGCTGGGGCAGCCCAGGGGAGGGCCCAGCAGTGTCCACAATGACTGCTGGAACTTTCCATCGCCCTTGCTGCCCCAGCCCCTGGCACTCTCACAACATCCTGCATCTCTTCCTGCTCTCTTGACTTAAAATGCAGAGCACAGCCCCAGCCACACTCAGTGTCCAAAGAGGCCACTCTGTTTACCTGTGAGAGCAACCTGTGCCACAGCCTGACTCTGGTATTTAGACTCTGACCTCTCACAGATTTGCCTGGAGCGATTGACTTCTAGGTCCATTCCTATTAAAACTCCAACTAAGGGTGAAGAATACATCACTTATGAATTATTGACAAAGTTTAATGCAGTTTGTGCATTTTACAGTACTGCCTGTTCAAAATATTGTGATTAGTTTGTACCTGTTGAGTGCTGCATTTATCAAAGAATTAAACTGAGAACAGAAGTCAATGGGTGTTTTATTAGAATCAGTTGTCAGATGATTTAGAGTGATAAGAATAAAATTTGTCATGAAGTTGCATTTTGTCCTATTCAATATCAAAACTACATTTCAAGGCATGAATCAAAATTATAGCAATGTCTGTTCTTAATGATCAGTTCAGACTACCACATTAGCAGTACTTGGAGAGTAAAAAGAAATTGATATACATGTAAGAAATTACATAGTGGGATTTTTTTTTTCCTCAATTCAGATCACAATTATCCCTTGGCTTTGCTTTTCAGGTGGCTGAAATGCATGGGGAGCTGATTGAATTCAATGAGCGGCTGCACCGTGCTCTGATGGCCAAGGAAGCTCTGGTGTTCCAGATGAGACAAGAGCTCATTGATCTGAGAGGGCCAGTGAGTATTTGTTTATTGCACTGCAGAATATCCCTCTGGAATAGCTCAGACATGCTCCTCATGGTGAAATATCCATTAGCTTGTAAGAAATAACAGATCTGTAAAGAATTGGCTTTGAACAATTCCTTTCCTCTTAACTATTCCAGATTATGCTTTACATTTTACATTTTCCTTTTAAAGGAAAGAAGATACCCTTTTATGTTTATTCTAGTTGTAAATTAAGGTAAAAAGCTATTTCTGTTTTGTTCTTAATGCTCCTGCAATCTGATTTTTTAACAGCTGCTACTTCCTTTGATTCTGCAGGTATTAGTCCATCATTGCATCATTATGAACTTTTGTACTTATGTCATGTTTTGTGGGAGCACAGCTGAAATAAAATGTTCTTGTGTCCTTCCCTTGGTAGAATATTGGTCGTAAAAGAAAGTGATCAGTAGGTTTTATGTGCTTCATATTTTCCCATAAACGGCTTATACACACAAAGTACTTTGTTTTAGCATCCTTTGCACATAAAGCCCTAATAATGGTACTCTTGCCTGCATTTTCTATATCTTTCAAAATTACATGCTTTTACAAACCCCAATTTGTTTCTTTACAAAACTGTAGCAAATGTTAACATAAAGGACTCACAAGGGTGACATGTTCACAATCTTCTTGCAGGATTTTGTTTTTCTTTTATTGATTGTCAGGAATAGTTTTTATTGGCATTTATAGAATTGAATGTTGAATTGTAATTTCCTTATAATATTATGCTTTCTTAATTGAAAACATAATAGCCACTGTTTGGAAATTATTTCTGTTTTGTAAATAAAGGTCCCTGGAGATTTAAGTCAAACATCTGAAGATCAGAGTTTATCAGATTTTGAAATGTAAGTTTCATCATTCACAAATTTTTCTCTTCATACCATCTCTGGGAAAGGAGAATAAGCAAAGAGATTCAATAATTTGCTTTTCCTCTATTATTTCCAATAACTGCATTCTTAGCTGTGGTGTTCCATTGTTAAAAAGCATGGAGAGCTGCACAGTCCATGCCCCAGTGTAGTTAATCATGCTGAACTCAAGGAGTTTAGATTTAGCAAGATTCCCTTGGAGTGCTTTTTAAATGCCCTAGGCCTTGGTATTCTGCCAAAGCACCAAGAAGTTTCTGGTTTGGGTGCTCTGGGTTTGAAGGGTGCTGGTTGTTATTCATCATGTGATGGACTTCCTCATTTACAGAAGAGCTCCTAATCAATGCTTCAAAAAACCCCAAAGCCCCACTAGGAGCCCTCCCCAGTTCATTTGAGAGTGTTGTGATTTGGAATTTTGCCTTTAGTAGTCAAACTAATGAATCTTGCTTTTGTGGATGAGGGGTTGAAAATGTGGCTGATGTGTTTGAATCATAGAAATTTAGAGATGGATGACAAAGAGTGGATGGAAATGGCTTCTGCAGAATTGTGCATTGCTCTTCTGTTATTTAATGAACTTTACCTGAGATTTGTCGCTCAAAATGTTGAATTTGTTGAAGTGAATAATTTTTGCTTCATGTGTATAATCAAATGTTGTCAAATCCATGCTGTGAAAAAAAGCCCCAAACCCCAGAAAACCTGCAGAAAGAATTGTTTCAGTTGGGTTAATTTTAGGGAATGTTTTTAGATTCAGAACATAAAAAAAAGTTCAGGCAGAACTCCAATGTTTCTGTTTCTTCATTTGAAATTTTAAGTTGCTTTATTGATTACTTTGATCATTATTTAAATCATTGCATGTAGTTGCTTTGCAATTCTTATACATAAATATGATTCTCTTTTTGAAGTTTTTCTCTCTCCTCCTCAGATCCAATCGTGCTCTCATTAATGTTTGGATTCCCTCAGTCTTCCTGCGTGGCAAAGCTGCCAATGCATTCCATGTTTACCAGGTGAGTGAGGCAGCTGAGCAGGGATTTTGTCTAGAAGTTTCTGACTGAAGTAGCACATTTTAATAATTTAAATCTCTGTGTATAATTTCATTAGAGATCAACTAATGAGCAGCAGCAGTAACTTCATATATATTCATCCATAGAATTGTGTTGATTATTCAAATAGCATATTTTGAGGCTTGACTTGTAGTAGTTTAATACTTTAAAAGCATGCTAATAAGATGACTCCATTGGTCAGGGAGTTTAACAATTCAGTATTAATCAGTAAAGCCTTCTTCAGTATGCATGTACATGTTTTGCTTCAGTTTTGGGGATAACAATGACCAGCAACATTGCTTGACAGACAGATGTGGTTTACTGTAGTAGCTCACTTGAAAACATCTTGAATAATGAAACAATTCTACACTGTGTGTTATTGAACATGTTCACGTTGTGTTCTGCCTCAGGCAGGTCAGAATTTAGGGGTTTGTGCTCCAGCCTGACTTGGAGCTGAAGCATTGCAATTTTATACTGTTCCTTGATTGGTGGATTCCTGGTTTCAGAGCAGTGACCCCTCCATGGATAGAATGACAGGGTGAACTTCAAACACTCTCATGTGCTGTCCTAGGCTATTTACATTTCTTTATGTGTGGATTGTTAGCAGCTGCAAAATTTCTCCACTTTTGTTTCAGCCACACGTACTTAGTTCTGAACAAGATTGCTGAAGCTTGTTAACATTCCTTTCACTCTGAATGATGTTTTTTTTTGTAGAATTTTGAATCATTTATGAAGTGTTGGCAGGTAGTTGAAAAATACAGGAAAACACCCACCCTTTGGCCAGTAAAAGACAATGAAAAATAAGACTTGAGGTAATGGAAAGAAAAGCCACCAGGATGGGAACAGTTAGTAATTTGTTCAAAAGCACTGAATAATCAATCAAATAGAGATGCACAGGTGTGTGAAAACCCAACTTGTTGACAAGTGTAATATTTTTGTCTTTCTGGCTTTCACATATTTCTGCTGTCACTGGCTACAGATTCTCAAACCCAGACACAAGTCTGCCAACACAGAAATTCTTAAAAGCATTGAGATCTCACCCCACCTGTTACACTAATGATGATGCAGCTCCATGTCCACCAGAAGAGCTCTGGTTTCTACTGCTCCTTTCCTAAGTTGCTCTGTGTTGTTTTTCATCCTGCTTGAGCAGGTGGGGTAGACCAGATGGTGCACTGTGGTCCCTTCCAACCTTACCTGTTCTGTGAATTTTATGGAGAATTTAATGAGTTTGTAATTTTACTTGTAACTCTGTATCAAATTAGGTTACTGAGGAGTTCAGTATTTGTCATGAAGTTTGACTGGATGTAACTGTACAAGTGGGTGAATGCAAGAGGAGGGTGGATCCAATTGCAGAGCATCTCAATTAGTTTGGAAAATTATCAACTTATCAGTTCCACAGTGTCTGTTACCTGTTTTCATGGACTTCAAAAAGCTTCTGAAGAATATAAGAACTAGGAGAAGTAAATATGGGTTGCTGTGCCTCTTCAAAATCAATGTCAGTTTTGCACTTGTGCTTCTTAAACCTGAAAAAGAAATTAATGACCTGTTAATTTGCATATCAAGAAGGCCTGACCTGGACAGGATAAGAATAGACTACTGCAGGAGTTTGCTTATTGTGCTTGCTTTTTAAAATTTAATTTTATGTTTTTAAATTGAATGTGGATTTGTAGTGCTGTTTTGAAGGGCATTTCAAAGCATTTCTTTTTGTGTCATGTTAACATCTGTTTTGGATGTTCAAAATCAGTGCATTTTTCATCCTTAAAAAAACCCAGATGTTGCTCTTCAGTAAACATAGCAGGAAAAGTTTCCAGCACCAGCATACTTGTCACATAGTTTCAGCCATCAAATAGTTTCTTTAATTTCTGTTGAGGATTAAGGATTCTGGACAAGCTCAGAAATAAAACTGTGGACTCTGAAAGCAAGCAGCATTTTATAATTAATCCTATTAGATGTGGAAATTTCAATCAGACCTCTGTATTTGTAGAGTTACACTGCACTCTTGCAGTAATATTTAACTGGCAGAATTAACTGGTTATGAATCTTGAGGATTTCAGAACAAGCTCTGGAAACGTGGCCAAATCTTATGCTCAGTTTGAATGGCTGAGTTCAGGGGGACAGTTGTGAGCAGCAGATAATTCAGTGCCCCAGTTTAGCACTATCTGTTACTGTCTTAAAAATTAACAGAGCTGGGGATCTGTAGCATTCAACTGTGGATGTTAGAACAATTAGAGGGGGTATAAATTTTAGGGGGAAAGCAATTTAGAATTGCATGTGCAGTTATTGAGTTCAATTAAAAATATTTTTTCACTTGCTTTCTCCGAATATAAAATAGTAATAGAAAAATGCATATTTTATAATCTCTGTTCACCATGGAGTTATGGGTTATTCTCATTCTGGATTTTTCCTTGTGGAGAATAGCAGATTGTCTGTTTTAAATGAAATGCCAGTAGCAGATCTTCTTGAATAAATAAAGCATAAATCTCCACATGCAGTGCACCAGGAATTCAAAGGTGAAATAGCTGAAAAGTGACTGATAAATAGCTTCTGGCTTGCATACCCCAGATTTTAAAGTAGCTAATCTGACATAATTTTAAAAAGGATTTAAAGAGGTCTAAAAAACCAAGTTGTTACAAATTATTAGGAAAGGGATAGACAAATAGGAAATGCTATTATGCTATGTATAATCTCTGGTTTATCTGCGTGCAATTCTACTCCTCTCCAAAGAAATAAATCAACTCCAAATAATATGGGTGGAAAAAAAAAAAGATTTTTCACTGGCAGAGCATATTAGAAATTCTTAGCCTGCAAGAAAGGCAACTGAGAGGAGAATACAATGGCAATCTTTCAAATCATGAAGGAAATGGAGACGTTTTTGACTGTTGAAAATGCAAATTGAGGCATTCATTGAAACTATTGCTTTGCAATTTGAAAACAAGTGCATGGCAGTGGTCTTCTCCACAATGTATAAAATGGGGTAATACTGGAAGTTTATGGGGTAATACTAGAAAATCATTCAGCTAATTAAACTGAAGAAAAATCAATCCAAATGCAAAGATGTGACTTCTAAGGAAATCCCTAGATAGTGATATTTTTGAATAATAAATACTACTATACCTTATGTTTATATTTAAGTGTTCTGTATAAAATACATTTCATAATTCTCTAAGGAGTTTTCTGAACTGTTGAGATCAGTGTGCCTTGCTGTAAGAGCAGGGTGCAAGAAACTTGGAGGTGATTTTAATTAAACATGAGTTGCCTTTGGAATGTTATGCTAATAATGACTAATTTAGTCCTAAAATGGAGATATATTAGGTATGATGACAAAATATCTTTCCTTCCAACTAATGCTTATCTTTTGTGCATGGCAAGCTCATTCTAAATGTTTTCAGAGCACATCCTCTCTATTTGTACTTGCTCAAGTTTGTTTTGCTTCAGGTTTAGTTCTTGACTCCTGTCTTGCCATTCATTAGCACTGACAGATTACTAGTGCAATTAATTTTGCACCTGAGTAGAAAAAATAATTAGACGACCAGTTGATGTCTTTATTACCAAGCAACAAATCATAAGGGTTGTTTGGACTTCAGTGGATGCAATGATCCAGGCTGTGACAGGAGCTCAGACACCCATAACCATCTCTGCAGCAGGAACATGAGGCAGTTACCCAAGGGCAGCTTCAGAGGTTCATTCTCTTACAAAGTTTCTGATGGCTGTTACTGGCTGGCAGAGTGATTAGTTATAAACATTGCAGCACACAGCCATACATGGAGAAATTCATTTGTTTTGTACCAAGTCACACTTAAGGAAGCCCAGTCTGGGCTTTAAACAGACAATTTAACTATTAACTATAACTATTTAACACCAGGGTCATGGTGGCAAAAGCCTTCTCTTCCAAACAAACAATTTTCTCTAGTTAGATAGAAACAATTCAGTTTCTCTATGTTGCTTTCTGATGACGGCTGTATGTCATCTCTGCAGTTTGATGCCCGTGTCTTTTGTGTGGCAGACATTGCTCACCATTAGAAAATAATTTCTTGTCTAATATATTCATGGGCATACAGACAGAATCCAAATCAGAATTAAAAAAAAAAAAAGCCATTTTCATTTTACCTCTAGATGGTGATAGTTAGATGCAATTTCTTGAGTGTGAAAAGCAAGTTGAATATTGCAGTAATATTATTTTGTCATATTTCTCAACTGTAGAGTATCTTGTTTTCATATACATGTGGATTCCACTTTCCTGTGAAGTGTACAGCAAATGCCATTAGTCATGCCTTTTGTTGCTATAATTATCAATGCCTGACACTTAAGATAATGAAACTGAGATTTTATGATTCCTAAAGTGATATCAATATTTAAATGGCTTCTTGCAAATCCGCCTTGTTTGCAGAGCAGTGAACACTTTACATTATAAACCAAATAAGTTCAAAGATTAATATGCTAATCAGACAAGACTGCTACTATTTGCATATGAATAGGACACCCTAAGACTATAATCAATAAACATTTCTTACCATTTTTTTATTCCTTTGACTATCTTCAGTCTTGCTGTTTATTATTGGCTGACATATTTGCTTATAATTTTTCTTTTTCTTTTACTCTAATTGATGTTTTAAAATCTGTTATTTTTCTCTGCACTTCCCTATGAAAGGGCTTTTATCACAGCATTATTTAGGTCAGAAAACACCTCTAAGATCATTGAGTCCAACTGCTCCCCAGCACTGCTAAGGCCACCACTAACCCATGTCCCCAGAAGCCACATGCTCATGGCTTTTGAATTCCTGCAGGTGTGGTGGCTCCCCTGCTGCTGGGGCAGCCTGTGCTGGGCAGCATTTCCATGGAGAAGTTTCCCCATCATTCCGTGTAAACCTCCCCTGGCACGGCCTCGTCCTGTCCTGTTCCCTGGGGGCAGAGCCTGCCCCTGCCTGCTCCAGGCTCCTGTCAGGGAGCTGTGCAGGGTGGGGAGG